CATTTTCCCAGCAAACGCTAAGAGCCTGTCAACGTTGTCAACGTGCGATGAGATGCCACTTGCATTTACCACACCTTTGAGTGTACCGCATGCGTCTAAGGAGTCGATACGAGCGCACTAAATAGCCATCAATAGACGCCCCAAGGACGCTATATCGCAGCCATCCCTGCCATCCCTGCCATGGCTGCCATGGCTGCCGTTAAATAAGCTAATTTACATCGACACATGGAGCTCCTCCTGGTGGCAATTTGTAACTGTCGCCGACAAGCCAACAACTTCCCAGCCGCGAGAGGCAAACAAGCTGTCGCCACTGCCACCATCGCGTCGTTGCAAGTTCACAGCTCCGCGTTAACAGCCTGCAGCGCGAGCTGAGGCGAAGAAATGTCTTGGGGAGCCCCATAACCCCCCATCACCCCCAATCCGACCACAGACCACTGCGGTTCGCCCTCAATCATTCCTACAGCTGACTTTGATTGTCTGCTGCTCCTCCCCCCTGTGCTCACCCGGCTATTTTCTAATTCATTATCCAAGGCGAATATTGGATCTGAATGCACGGATTTCAAATGCCGGCTGCAGGCGACGGAGCGTCGCGTTAAAGCTGTGGCAACAACAGGTTACAATTATGAGTGCCACAAAAAAACTGAAAGTATTTTCAACATGCAAACACGCCGTAAGCACTCGGCCGAGCCTGGCAGGCCCCGACCGGACGGGACCGGACCGGACCATGGTCATTTGCATGACACAGGGCCAGCAGAGAACTGGCGGCATTAAGGCAAGTTAATCACGTGCCAGGAAAAGTCACGAAGCTGGGGCTGAATGACCTACAGTGCTGTAGTGTGTTGTAGTGGGTGTGGGTCTGGGTCTGGGTCTGGATATGCTATGTGAGAATCAGGGCAGTAAGTGCAGGTAAATGTGCAATAATTCACACAAAAAAACACCAATGAACACCAGTACGACCCACATATACACACAGACAGGCAGAAACAACCAAACTCCAAACTGAAGTTCCACAAGTTCTGGGGGTCGGAAAAAACAGCTTGGGGAACAACAAGTGAAACAAAAACAAACCAAGGGACAATGTAAAAGCAGACTAACACACTTTTGTTCCCCCGATGATTGCACACCTTTTAAGGTCGGCCATTTATGCACTTTTTATACGAGTACCGTGCCTGAAAGACGATAGTTTATAGTCCATTTTTTCACGAGAAACCATTCAAAAGCTTTCCCCTTCTCCGATCCAGGCCGAGAGTGCAATTTTTTGCTCGCGCTGGAGAGGATTTTTACCAGTTCCGTGAACACTGTGATGTTTGGTCAGAGACGTGGGCGTAATTTAAAGCGATAAGCTCGTACAAACTGCAAACGGATTCTCATATTTGCAGAACGGCTCATAATAGGCAAAGGGAATCGACCCGAATCGACGAGCTGATCCAGGTCCAAATCCAAAGCCCAGGTCCCCAATATGCCTTGAATAACCAGGGCAGCCGGGGGTGTATGTGAATGCCGTTCACAGGATTTGCATTTAACAGGGTCCGAGCGAAGGCCACCTTTGCCCCGTGCCCCAATACTCGTGCCAATACTCGTGCCAATATGTACATATATCCGTATGCAAGTATTCGCCCCACTCGACTCCAGGCACTCAATACGTTTTCTGTTCCGTTGACAAAGACTGCCCAGCGAAGGAACAAACACCGAGACAGGGACAGAGACGGGGACAGGGACTGGGACTGGGACGGGGACAGGGACTGGGACGGGGACAGGGAGAGTGTAGAAACCTATTGAAAAATATGTTTGCGTTTCATTAAAAATTTAAGACCCTCCTGCAAGAAGTAAACGAATATACCAGCTCCATGTTTATGGCATGCGACAACATTATTTTTTCTGCCTTAAATATGCTTTTGCTGATAAAGTCATGAAAAACACCCAAACCAAAACTGACTCGCGTTTTAGAGCCCCACGCTGGTTGTAAGTTATAATATCGGTAGATATTTATCTTCAGCTGGCCACAGCAATTTCCCAATTCAGGGCTCGCTTCCGTGCTAGCAGTATTCATTAGACATTCCTAAAAAGAGGAATACTCGTCCGGATCGGACTACTCGGCTAGGAGTAGGGAGCAAGGACCGCAATCATTGTAGGTAATAATTTAAGGATATTATTGGGATACACAATAATTATTGTAAACCAACCTCAAAAAGATAAAATAGTAATAGTACAGATTTATGGTAGCCCTATGAATCGGAATTTTCGGACCTGTTTAATGCATTAATTTTGTTGACAGCTTGTGCAAAAACACATCCAATATTATGGTGTCACTGACATCCGATAATTTTATTCATCAGTGTTAATGTGGCTTGCATTTACGATGACATCAATATTTGTGTGGTGCTCAGCCGGCCATTCAGGATATCAAAAAAGAAGCAATCTGTGGTTTATATGGTGCGCAGTGGCACGTGCTGCAGCCTTATCTTTTAGATAGTATTTTATCACGACAGAGCATTCTATGTATTTGATTTGACTTCAGGCTATGCTCTTTGCTGAAGATCAAGGGGTTCATGCAGCGAAATTTGGCTTTCCAATCCAGTCAAGGTATTGGATCAACGACTGAACTTTCGCTCCTGATTTCATGGATTTAAGAACGGGATAAGGAAATTTGTGGAAACTTCTTGGGCCAAAATCTAAAATGTCATCGTCATCTTATGCAACTTTGCAAAATCAGGAATTTGCTTATTGAGGAGTATTGTATTCCAGGAGTATTGTATTCAAACGTCTGCGTTGGTGTACTCAAGTGCCCAAGTCGCACACTTACTTTCCTTCAATTTGCTGAATCTGCTGAAGCAAGAATATGCTGCCAAAAAACGTTTGACTTGTCGATCTGGTTTTCATTCAAAAGAGCTATTAAAAGTAGTGGGAACAGGCTCACGAACACAGAGCCTCCCGTGGGTATTCGGGAGAGCTCTTATGCGAGATAAATCATCGCCATATAATGATCCAACGGCAGAGATCTCATGCCCCGTGACGCAGTTCGGTTGCTGTAGAGTGGGTGCTTATTTTTCAGTGTTTTTATCTTAGTAAGGAAACTTTTCTTTAGTCCGAGCGGGAACCTTGAATTTTGTGTTTGCCCTGTCGCCGTCACTGACGTACCGCTGCATGGCTCCCCTCCTAAGTCTGTATCTGATCTAAGTGTATCTGTAATCTGTGGGTGATGCTGTCTCTGTCTGTGTTTTATGGCTACTTGTTGACTTTGGTCTTTCCGTTGCTATCGTTGTCGGATTCTCAAGCTAATCAACTTGCATAGCAATGGAGAGATGGAGCGATGGAGCAATGGAGCAATTGAGCCATGGAACGATATGAATATGAGCAAGTGAGTGGGGGGCAGGGCACTTGGGCGCCTCTGCATTTCCCCATAGCTTCGTTGACAAACCTGCAGCTTTCCAGTGTTTTTGATATTACTCGTATATCGGCGGCGGGCGTTATGTTCGCCTGCTCGTACCTATCTGGGGTTTATGGCGGCGACTCGTGAGCCACAAATGTTTGCTCTACGAGTACGTGTCATTCCGGCAGCGTGGGCGAGTGGCGGGCTGAGGCTTTACTGGCATTCGCCTTCGCTTCTTCTCTTCTAGTCTAATGCATTAAGTCGATTTCTCGCTTCAGTGGACTTGGTTGCTGCCACAAGCAGCCTTAAGAACTCGGGTCCTCACACGGGCCTCCCGCCCGTCGCTTTGGCTCAAATTTGGCTTGGCTTTTACACGCTCAATGGAATATTTTCACTTTTCGAGACACTTTCGCTACATTCGCTCTGAAACTCACTCGAATGTTAGAAAAAATTGCCGGATTTATTCTCGTAAATGTGGGGGATAGAGTCCCGTCCCCGTCCCCGTTCCCCTGCCTATCCATGGAATGGGTTAGTGGTTCGCTGGTGCGTGGGAAGAACTGAACAATCGGTAATCAGGATTCATTTAACCGTTTTAAAGAAATTCAATCAAGCTGACTCCGCTGCTGACCCTTTCCAGTCCCCGAGGGTTAATTAACTTTTGCAACAGTGAAAAGCCAGTTGTAAAGCCAGATCCCTCAGTCGCTCAGTCGCATAGCCGTTCAGCGAGCCACCAGCAAAAGCTTTCTTATTATTATTATTATTATTATTATTATTATTATTATTATTATTATTATTATTATTATTATTATTATTATTATTATTATTATTATTTTATCAGTGTAATTCTGACGCCGAGTCCTTCGTGGAGCAATTAAGAGACTACAAACAGGACGCTTCGTGCGGTTAAGGCTGTTGCGTTGAAAGAGTTTTTCGCTTTCGCTGCGTGACGTGGGCAAAAAACGGCAGACACATTGTCCGCAAACATACGGATACCTCCCTACCTCCGTCCCTCCGTTGGGCTTGTTCACAAGTTGCTTCTATTTCTTATTCTATTCTTATTTCTAATTTATATACGAGTAAGATATTTAAATATGCGAGACCTTGAAAGCAGTTGTCTGGAAAGTTGGGGCGCCTTAAAGCAGGCTACATTAAATCACATGCATACATATATACATATGTACATATGTACATTCGTACATGCATACATGCATACGTCTGGTGAATGAATAATATGGGGCCGTCAATCAGACGTCCGCCCTTTCCTCCTCTCTTCATAGGCCATAGGTCTGCCCCTGATTACTGTTAATTACCGCTGTTTCCATACGAAAAGCTCTTTATCCTTTGAAGCCACAACGCATTTGCGAGCTTGCTAACAAACTTCATGCCGTTTTGTTAATTTTTGTTCATTTTCGGCCCTGCGCATCCCCCAGACACAGGGCCATGAACGTCGCCTGAAGCAGGAGCAGCAATTTATGCCAAAAGTTCTGGCAAATTGCTCATTTCAAGCACCGTTTGGTATGCAACACCTTCGTGATATTAGAAATTCCACCAGGGAGAGAGATTTATGCTAAATACACACACTCCCACACTGGGGCGGAGACTTTTCCGTGCCTATCTCGGAGGGCCTTACCTTGGGAAAGCACTCCAAGAAGTCAATTAACAGATCCAGGCAAAACAAGCTGCAGACACACCTGTTTTTGAATGTACGAATTCGCTGATGCGGCTGTTTTTGCAGGCATTAATCGTGTTTTAAGGCCTGTTTGAATATGTCTTCTATATGTATGTCGAATATGTGCTTATTGGATTGGTTCAGGCACAATTAAGTGTGTTTTTCAAGTCCAAACATTTTGTATTGCTCATTGTGTTATTGTTGTTTATAATTGTTGTAATTGCTTTAATTGCTGTTCGCCGATCGCTGGTCTTTCGGATCCGAGGTAAGCTGCGCGCGGGATGGGTAAACAATCTAAAGAAATTCCGGAAAATATAGCTTGTTGAGAAATTCTGCGTTTCAATTCATTTAATATCTGTGTGTGTATTTATTTGTCTTCGTTTTATTGCAATTTATTTTATATGCACATTTAGTGTTTCTCTCCAGCACACAGAAACATTCGAATTCAAGTGTACTCTAGAGCAGGAGCGGGGGATATTTGAGCGAATGGGCGCACGGCAGGAGGAGGAGGTGCCCCTGCCAGTGCCGACACTGGCAATGACCCGGAAGTTTTCGGCATCTCATTTATCTCGTTTTTCGTTTTGCTCTTCGGTGCGGGTGGGATGGGATGTGGGGAGGGGTGCGGTGGGGTGGGTATCTTGTACCGTTCTTTGGGTTTATTTTATAACAATAAACAAAACGAATTTTCGCCATGGCTCTTCTCGATCTGGTATTCATTTGTTTGGTTTACGATTTTAAAGATTTACGGTTGCAAACTTAGGGTAGGAGTAAATGTTTCTCCCTGAAAAAGCACTTGCATCAGACACTTGGTCAATTAAAATGTTATTCAAGATACTTGCGCTTCGGCTATTCTGATTAATTGATTCATTCTGACAGTTCTCAGAGAAAAGTGAGAAAAGAGAAGTGAATGCACTGCAAGTTTCAACAAAAGATAATGAAGCGGGATCACCCCGAACGTAGGGAGGCTGCGTGAGTACACGAGTATATGGCGATCGAGCGAGATAAACAAATCGAGACAGAGAAACAGGGAGAGAGAGAGAGAGACAGATAGGCCGCGGAAATATACACGTCCAATGCAAACCAAACAAATCACAGAAATAAACCATAAAGGGAAAAATATGTATGTATATTGATTCTATCTATTGCGCCCTCCACTACACGAGTCCCCGCGACTGCTACGGGCTTCTCCAGTTCCTATCGAGACGCGAGTCCTATGGCGCCCGCGGGCGATCACATGGTAGCATGGAGCAATTGAGCAATGGGTGGGTTTTGTTGCTCGAAATTTGCGTAATTTCCGCCGACCGTCACTTTTTATTGGCTGGGACACACACACGCGTCGCACTTCACTGGCCGGCCACAGGGCACCGTAGAGTTTTCGAACGCGGAGATCAATTGCTAGCAAGACGTCGGCACTTTTATACGTTTATTGGGAATACTTTTTGGCCCCCAGGCTTTCGTTTACGAACCGAACACGTTGGAGCACCAACAACAATTATGAGAACCAGAGACCCGCTAGTCCGCAGCCACACAACACACACACACACTGAACAGCTGTTCGTGTTGATCGCAGCAGCGCTGCCAGACCATCGCACTATTTCACACTTTGCTAATGAGCGGCAAAACCATAAAAGCCAGCTATGATGCCATGAAATGAAGTTCGCTCCAGTGTGTTTTAGGAACAGGCAGCGTTAAATATTTATCTGCAGTTTGGCTAACTGGAACGCACTGCTGACCTTCGTGCGGCCCACACTTCCCGCCGCTCTCGCGTAATTAGGGTATGTACAACTTTAAAACACGCACACTGAGTGAATTATTTTTATGGCGCTCCGTTTGCGGCCGTAGATGTCAGGATAGCGAAAGAAAAGGACTTGACACAGTACACCGTGCTGCAGGCCGAATAGAACTCAGGGAGCGGACTCGTACAAGTCCCTTATATACCAGCCAGGACCAGGACGCACGAGAGGAGAGCCAAGGCCCATGGCGCAGGCGCAAAGCGGAAACGGTGTCAACTCACTGCTGGCCTACTGTTGTGGTGTCCTAGTCAAATAAACGAAGAGAGAGGATACATGCAACAGCATATCCATGGAAATGCTTAGGTTGGAAAGAGCGAAACGAGTCTAAGTGTGAAAGTTGTCTCTTTGCTGTCAACCATCAGCTGTTGATTGCAATTGAACAGGAAAATACCTACTTTGTTTTTAAGTACCACTATTAAAATGGCAATACATTTTGAAACATGTTAAATGCAAAACCTTTCATTTAAAATTTTTTATTATTCCTGAATCAGCTGTTAGTCAGCTGCATTAGTCAGTGCTGCAAAACACCGCTCATTGTCTTTCAAACACAGATAAAGATATTTAGCCGCGAATTCATCTCACAGGTAGAGTTAGAGTTCAGCATTGTATTTATTATGCATTTTGACTTAATTTAATTCACTGCGAAGGCGTCGATTACGCTTCCAGTCTCGCACTTTTTCACGCTGCATATCTTGACGAGTGCGTCGCTGCTGAGGCACTGGACCCCTTCTCCTTGTTGCATTCGTGTCGAATGCTTGGAAATGTGCAACCCTTGCGGGTGATTGCTCGATCCCGAGGCCGGTTCGTTGTTTTCTTAGCACTGTCTTCACCGGATATAAGCGTCCACTTTGGTTAGGTCCCAGCCCGTGCTCTCGGTCCCAGCCCTGCTTGACCATTAGCTGCAGGCCACGATTTTTGGAAGATATGTTAAACTTTTCCAGCTTGTGGGGCGGAAAAGCTTTCATATTGAACTGGTGCACGGTGGATGTTTGATGAACATTCCACGGTGTTCATCAAACATCCACCGTGTCTCCTTGTAGTTTCTTTTGCAGATACGACAATGGAAGGGCGTTGTCGGGTCGCCGGCTATTTCTTCCGGTATATCAGCTTTTTCTGAATTGGGTGCAGTTTCTAGAATTTGTACTACTTCCGTATGACCTTTCAGCATGGCCAGTGTGAGAGCCGTGTTACCAGATTAGTCTCGGACATCTGCGTGCGCCCCATTATGTAGAAGCCATGCTACCGCATCCTTGGCACCCTCACATGCAGCCATCATAAGTGCCGTCCAACCATAGACGTCGCAGGCGTTCAGCTCCATGGCCTTGTCTGTGATGAGCATTTGAGACATCTCCTCCACCTTGTTGCTGATGGCGTAGCGGAAGAACTTGCTCTTGTCGAACGGCAGCAGTGGATCCCTCCCGGATCCATTTGACTTCTTATGTGTGTGTGTGGGAATGGCTCTACTAGTAGCTGGTGTGTGCAAAACTTCCTCATAGAACTTCTGTGCATCAGCTCCGTCCAGACCGTTTATTTTGTGCTTGGTGTCTTTTATTGGTTGCTGGGCGCATTCTATCTGGCCAGCTCGGACGAAACGTTTCAGTTGTAGCGGCAAAGTGGTTAGTGCCAACCAGTTTGGATGCAATTCGTCTCCAGCTGAATTCATTTGCTTTGTAACAAAAATCAACGTAGTAAACAATATTATATACAAGTGCTGTAAAACACACAAAAACTAGTGCTGCACGTTTTGTATCGAATCAAATAGATTTGTCTCCCGATTGTTGTTTTTGATTTAATTTACATCATATTAGTATTGCCAAAAGTTAATATATGTGCGATTCTTATTTTGTGTTTGCCTAAATTTCAATCAAAAATAGTTCATTTTAATTTCTTCGAATAATTTACACTTACAATAAATTCAACTCGATATTATCGCTGGAGTTTACCAGCACTGCTGTGTTGATGCTCTGTTTTCGCCTCTTCGTTTTGGCCTGTTTTCTTGGCAACCGCGTAAATGTAAATTTCGCAACTTGTTTAAATTGTTATTGAAATAGCAAGCGCAGGTTAATCGTAATTAATTAATTAATTAGATTATTTACCTAAATGAAACTACCTGAACTACAGTATAAAAGACGCAAGACTTGGTCTTTCGAAATCGTGACTTCAGAACTGCGCACTTAAAATCAATAACTGTAAGGGCCACGCTCTATACCTAAATGTGAAACGCCCAGGAGTAACGGGAACAGTCCGAACAATGTCCGACGAAGAAGAAGACTCGGTGTCCGAGGGCTTCTCTGCCAGCGAAGATGAGTGGAAGCCCAACAAAGATGCTCGTGGAGGCGAATCATCGGACGACGACGATAGCGAATTTGATGAGATGCAAGCAGCAGGGGCGGCTGGTGCTGCAGGGCCTAGTGGCCGATCATCTGCGGGCGCATCAAAAAAGAGGTAAGCAGGCACTCACTGGACATTCAGTCCTTTTTGGTTAACACTGTGCTTCTGCAGGGATCAGAAACCGCCGAGCGGCATAAAGGGAGCTTCAGTAAAGAAGCGCAAGCCAAGTGGGCAATCTCTGCGCTCAAAGCTGTACAACAAGTACCGGCCGCCGCCCAAAACGTTTCAAACTTCACCCTCTCAGCAGAACTCGCCATCAGCGTCGGGTTCAAAAAACGCAAGAACGCCCAATGAAAGCGGTTCACAGGATCGGCAGTATGCTGATTCCAGCAGTGAATCCAGCGTGGAGGACTATTTGGTGAATCCTGCCGACCTCGATCTGCGCTCGAGCTTCTTTTCGGCTCAGCCACCGTCAAAGGATAAATCGCCAGCGCCGCAATTCGATTGCAATGCAGGTGTTAAAATTCTCTCCGACTCCGGTTCCGAGGATAACAACGACAGCAGCGTCGAGGACAAAGCGACCAATGCGTTTGACTTCCGCGGGCTCCTAGAGAATGCCAACAGTCTGGAGCGCACCAGGGATGCACTGGCCAGACGCGCCGTCACAGCCGCATCGCCGAAAAACCGCGCCGCAACAATGGATGTCAATGCACTGCTTGCATTGGGCGAAAATCCAAATCAGAACTACGCCAAGGCTATCGAATCTGATAAGGACGAGGTGAAGGAGGAGCGAGCAGGGCGACGAGCTGCAGCAGAGGCCCCGCCGCCTCCCTTGGACGGACCGCCTCGTCTAAGCAAGACCAAGTCGACGCGCATAAAGCGGCACACCAAGACGCGGCCCGTGTCCACTGTGGTGGCTGCTGCTCAAGACACAGACGACTCCGATTTTGAGGAAGTGGCAGGTAGGAGGAAATACAAGTAGTTTGTCTACGCTCCAGAAGGCGAGTGGCGTGTCGCGTGAAAGTTGGTTGTGGCGCTCGATGGTGTTAATAGGATGGCATCCTGGTATCTGAAAAACAAAAGCTTCCAAATTGCTCTGTATGAGACTGTAGTTTTGTTTTGTACTTTATTTGTATTTATTCGAGTGAAAATAGAAATTACTCACAGACGTAAGGAACGGAATGAAGCTATGTAGTCGTATCTCTTCGATATATAGTATGTACCTATTTACTGTAACATATTGTTAGTCGATCAGACTAAAGAACTAGCCTAACACATTCCCCAGAATTTCACCCCAGTAGATGGCTTTTGTTGAGAGTGCTTTGCTTTAACCCAAACTAACAATAACTCCTGATGATAACCTGTGAAAGGTATTGGCCCGTGGCGTCGACGTCAAGCCGACAAAGTTCGTGATTTATGTATTGTATAAACCCCGTGTATTCGGAATCTGTACATCTCTGCGCCACTTATGCGGGCCTAACCAAGAACCTACTATGAAAACGAAATCGAAAGTTCAACTACTGTGCTATAGAGGCTTCTGGAAACAAACAGAACACTTAAAATCTCTTCGATATCCATGAGTTCAGTGTAAAAGGATGGGGGGTTAAATGTCCATGGGGATGGGGATGGGGTGACATTTGAAAGAGAATTCAAATACTGTTGATTTTTTGTATCTAAATGTGGTTTAAATGTCTGCACACACGAGTATACGGAACCACGATTATATGCAATAAAGGCCACTCACTAATTATGAATACTTTATACAAACTGCATTTACATACATACATACATACTATACAATAGCAGTACATGAGATTGTTTTGGGGAGTGTGAAGTTTGCGTTGAGACAAAAGCAAAGTCCAGAATTCAAGCAGATTGAAATCCAATTCCAAATAATAATCAATGTGCTATGTGCTATGTACAGTGTGCAGAGTGCAGAGTGCACAACATTTGTGTAGTTACTTTATGGCAATTTCAAGTGTTTCAAAGAAATGAACAACAAATAGCTAACCTAACCGATTAGAACTGATGTTTAACGAATTTACTTTAGCAAAATTATGGCCATTCCACAGAGTATTTAGCAGTAGCATCGCATAGCATCTGCAGAGTGAATTCTGAATGCAGAATGCAGAGTAAGAAAAACAGAATTAATAAAAGAATAAGTAACTAATGAATCCGTAATTTTAGCGCAATTTAGTGAATGGAATGTTGATTGTAATATTAATTCAGTAATTCACTAATTCGTAATTCAGTATTAAACTTAAAACCGCACTTTAAATGATGTAATAAAATAAATGCAAATGTTAAAAAGAGTTAATGGCTCTGGTCTGCTGTATGCTCTCGGGGGTGGTGTGCTATCCAGGCCCCTATAATATATAGCCTTAATGTAAGCCCCCACTTCGCCAGTGTCGCCACTTCCTCATTGTACCCCACTTCCCATTGCAGACGCGGAACTTGGCAGCGACGAGGATGGTGCCGCCACTCCGAACATCTCTGGCGATCTGGAAATCCACATCGGCCTGCAGTCCGGCCACGTTACCAAGGAGCAGAAGAGCCAGCACGAACTGGAGATGGCGCTCAAGCGTCGGCTCAACCGCGACATTAAGGATCGATATCAGCTGCAGCACAAGGTCAGTCTGCTGGCCCAAATGACCCGCAGCATGCTGTACAATCGCCTGCTGGGCGACTCCGAGCTAATGAACGGGGCATTGAAGCTGCTGCCCAGCAGGAATGCCTATCCCACGGAGCGGGGCACCGAGCTGAAGTATCTGCAATCCTTTGTCACCTGGTTCAAAACTGCCATCAAACTACTGAGCCCCCACTTGTATCCCGAGCGAACGGCGGGTACCAAGCAGGGCATTGTCAAAGAGCTGCTCACGCAAATTTCGCGTAAGGAAGCTCGCTGCAAGCAGGATATGATCTTCATATTTATTGTTCTTGCGCGAGGTATGGGCATGCACTGCCGGCTGATCGTCAATCTACAGCCAATGCCGTTGCGGCCGGCAGCCAGTGACCTAATTCCCATCAAGCTGAAGTCGAATGAAGCGAATAGGAATCGCAGTCAGACGGTCGACTCCGATGATAAGAGCGACTCCGGTGGCGAAACGACGGAGCGCAAAGGTGCTGCCAAGGCCAAGCCCGCGGGGGTGAGCAGTGTAATGAACACTAGCAAGCCAAAGCTGGGCTCCCCAACAGAACCTAAAGGACCGAATCCCAGTTCACGCAGATTAAAAAGTGTCAAGAAGGAGAGCGGTGCAGCTAAACCGGCCAAAAAAGAGGCTGAAGACATAAAGCCGGGCTGTAGTCCCATCGCAAAGTCCAGGATAGTCAAGAAGGAACCAGAGCGGGCACTGAAATCTGACGTGGTCGCAAGCCCTCCTAAAAGTGGTCTTAAAGCGCACTCAAAGTCCGAAAAATGTGTCTTCGAGGAAAAACCAAGTACTTCGAAAGCAGCCAGGCCGCAGTTGTCTGCGCTAAAGCGTTCCAGTACGGTTACAGGAATGGCGGCCGCGGACGAGAGTAAGAAATCCAGGTTGGCTCCTGACAATTCGTTCTCCCCAGTAGCAGGACGTACGCGCAAAGCAGCTGAAAGGCCAATACCTGCAGCTCTGCAAAAGAACAGAGTGGGGTCCCCGCAGAAGGTCGGATCCCCCGTCATTCCTAAACTGGTCTTTTCAAAAGCCAAACTGCAGAATGCCAAGCACAGTGATGCCGAGAACGCAAATCCCACAGAGAAGCATCAGCCGCAGCATAAGCAGCAGCTAGGTACGCGAGAAACACGGTCGCGTAGCAAGTCGCCAAAGGTCCACATCTCACCCACTTTTTTAACGGGTAAATCTGGCGCAGCAAGAGCAGATAGCACTCCGAGCCAGGCGCTTACCAAGAGCCAAGAGGCTGAGGCTGGGGCTGGGGCCATAACGGCTTCTGGACGGCAGCTTCGGACTCGACAGCCGAAGATCGGAAAACAGGCCATACCGCAGTTAGATGGCGCCGACGACCTGCCAGTGGCCAAGAAGCGTCTGAAGTTGGAGAAGCTACAGAGGTCGCCCGACTCCGACGAAGTATTTGAGCCAGCCAGGCCAGTGAAGAAAGCGCCGGTTCTGCCCAAGGCAGTGGAAAAGTTGCGCAAGGACAGGCGAGTCTTGTCCACAGACGATGAGAGCGGCTCAAAAGGCAAGCCCAGGCCTGACGCATCCGACATGTGGGTTGAGGTCTGGTCCGAGGTGGAGGAGCAATGGATCTGCATTGACTTGGTGAAGCTAAAGTTGCACTGCGTAGACACCATCAGGGTAAGACATAATATTCCAGAGCCATCAGATATGTTAACATCGTGCCCTTGCAGAAAAATGCATCTCCAGGCCTGGCCTACGTATTTGCTTTCCAGGATGATATGAGTCTAAAGGATGTGACCGCTCGCTACTGCGCCAATTGGAGCTCCGTCGTTCGAAAGGCACGCGTTGAAAAGGGCTGGATCGATGAAACCATCGCTCCGTATCTGGGTCGTCGAACCAAAAGGGACATCTGCGAGGATGAGCAGCTGCGGCGCATACACTCGGAGAAGCCCCTTCCCAAGTCCATAGCCGAATTCAAAGATCATCCGCTGTATGTTCTCGAACGGCACCTTCTGAAGTTTCAGGGCCTCTATCCGGCAGATGCGCCGACTCTTGGCTTTATACGTGGGGAAGCTGTCTACTCCAGAGATTGTGTGCATCTTCTCCACTCCCGGGAAATCTGGCTCAAGAGCGCCCGCGTCGTGAAGCTGGGTGAGCAGCCCTACAAGATTGTCAAGGCGCGTCCTAAGTGGGATAAGGTAGGCGAGCATCCACATCGAGATCGAGCATCCTCATTGACTAATGTAATGTATATGCTCTGCCAGCTCACGCGCTCTGTTATTAAAGACCAGCCACTTGAGATATTCGGCTACTGGCAAACACAGGACTACGAACCTCCCACCGCGGAGAACGGCATTGTGCCGCGCAATGCCTACGGCAATGTGGAGCTATTCAAGGCCTGCATGCTTCCCAAGAAAACGGTGCACCTGAGGCGTAAGTTCTATTAGCCGTGGGGATACCACGCCATAATTCTCTTGCTTTTTTATTTATTGTGTATTTTTCGTTTGTCGACAGTGCCCGGACTGATGCGCGTTTGCAAGAAGCTGAACATTGATTGTGCCAATGCAGTGATCGGCTTTGACTTCCACCAGGGCGCTTGCCACCCCATGCTAGATGGCTTCGTTGTCTGCGAAGAGTTCCGCGAAGTGGTCTGTGCGGCTTGGGAAGAAGATCAGCAGGAGCAGGCGCGCAAAGAGCAGGAGAAGTACGAGACCCGAGTCTTTGGCAATTGGAAGAAGCTCATCAAGGGTCTGATTATACGCGAGCGTCTCAAGAGGAAGTATAATTTCTAAATGTTTAATTTTCTTTATGTTTTTGTCGATTGACTTCCTTCTTTGTCTCAGTTTCGAGCTCCAAATTATGTTCCATTTAAATAAACTCTGCGATTAATTTCTTTCTTTCGAATTCATTTATTTAGCGACTGTTTAGTATTTGATTTTCGGTAGCTTTACATATGCATAATCAATCGTATATTATTATTTGGTATCAGTTAATTTACAAAACGACTTTTCATTAGCTGAGTAAGTATAAAGACATTGACGACTAACGTTTGAATATATAGAGGAAAGGAAAAACAGTAATTGGGCTCCGACTCTTCCAGGCGTCGTCAATTGTATCTCATCAAATATCTCATAGTAAGCAGTGTGGTGGTAGTCAAGTCTCTACAAGAGCATGGAATGCATCGGAACACTAGTAAACTAAGGCAATCTATAAATAAAATCGAGAACTAATATGCAAAAAGAGTGGCTTATCGCTTCAGTTGGTTCAACTTCAGTACTCCACACTGATCTGCCGTTAAGTTCGATCAGTTCCAGTCAGAATCAATGGGAGTTTCGGTCAAGTTCCACTGCTGCCTAAACCTACGCAGGCAAGGTCGTGGCCGACTGCCTGCCCGTCGACACGGGGTTGCCCGGAGACGGTGTCGCACTGGTCGTCTTCTGATGCTGCAAACAGCTCTGGGCCTTCAAATACTCGACATACATTCGCCTGGCTTGGTTGAGAACGCGTGTAACGTCGTGCTTGCGCACCATCTTGTCAAAGTGCATCGCAATCTCGTTGTAGTCCATTCCCGCTTTCATGATGGTGTTGCGGTGCTGCAGCAGCAGGGTAAGGCAAAGGAACATCAGGAAGGCATTGCCACCGCCGAATTCTGACGGCGGAGGTAGTGCCGTCGACGTGGTGCCAAGTGTTCCGGCGATTCCATTCAGATTGCCCGTTCGTTGTGGCGAATGTGTGTACGCGCTCTCGTCATCGGCATTGGTGGCAATCTCCACAAGCGGGGATACTTCCACCAAATTCGGCTCTGTTGAGATGGGCAGGATCACCTCTGGCAGGCTACTGCTGTTGCGCATTCCCAGCGGACTATGCCCGTCCAGCAGCAGCTGGCTTTCGTCGATGAACGGATTGAAGGTGCGGGACTCGTTCAGCTGGACGCTGTTGCTCTTGGTGGCCGCTAGTCGCTGGCGACGTCGCATGTGCAGTTCGCTGACGTCGGGACACGTTATGATCTCGTTCTCCTTAAGATCATCTACCATGTCCAGCGTGTCCTTGTCCAGCTCTTCGTACTCTATGCCGTCTGAATCCATCGGCCGTTTTGTGCTCTCCGTGAAGGGGAGGCCGAACACTTGGCGATCCAAGTTTTCCGCCTCCAGACGCAGCTCACGTGTTATTGCGTTTGTCATGGGATAATATTCTTGATCCTGGTCTGGCTCCTGGTCGGGCGTGCAGTCGCTGGTATTTCTCACCTCTGGCACCCGGTCTCCCGGTTCCCTCTGTTGCAGGTCCGGAGTGCGGAGTCCTGGCGAGATGTTCTCCAACTCCAGCTGCAGATTGTAGCTGCTCAAGTCTTGCGCCTGTTGTATGGCCGTTGCCGCTGTTGAGGCGCTCCAACTAGTATCTGGCAGCGAAGAAGAGTCGGACTCATCGAGGGACCCTCCCAGTCCGGCTTTGGTCAACTGAACCAGCGGCTTGGAGAGCGAAGTAGAGTCTGGGGGAGACCGCTTTTCGCCCAAAAACTGCTGATTGGCAATTCGATCTGAGATGCGGTTCTTATTAATTGTTGCGAAATTGAGAAATTCGTTGAAGTTCTTGACAAGCTTGGGCGGCATCTGGCTTTCGCCATTACCGGAGATGGCAGTCTCGCCATCTTCATTGAACGGAATACCAATGCGGCTCGTCGATGCAAGCTTCTCCTTGAGGTCCTTGAAGTGGCTGCCGCTACTGACGCGCTTTACACTCTCGCTGACGTGACTGGCATTCGATGCCAATTGCTTTGCAATTATATTGCTTACGGATAAAATGTTATTTTGCTGTGGCTTTTGTCCCACGGGGCCCTGCGGTGCCTCGTCCAAGTTGCAAGATGAGGATGAACTGCACAGGAAGGCCCGTCCTGGAGAGGCTGATTTTGGGCTTTCCGCGCCTGGGGCCTTTTGGGCATCATCTTTAAAAGGATTCGTTTCAAGAAAACGCGGGGAGTCCTTCCTATCAAATACATCATCATCCTCCTCGGAATCCTCGCCGGCAGTTAGTTTTTGCACAGACTGAACGATTGTGCTTTCCGTGGCCCCCTCAATCAGCGCCAACATTTTTGACTCGTCTAGGCTCTGGTGCACTTTGGCAGAAGTTCGTCGCTGACGACGAGCAGCTGCCCCCGCATGACGAGACATATTGTCGTCCAGACTGTGATTCAACCGCTTTGTGCTGTCCAGAGCATGGCCGCTGGCCCCGAGGGAAGAGCTTAACGAGCTGAGAGATGCGGACGAGCTCTGACGGCGTAGTGCACAGACCTTTGTGTAAGGATTCTCTCGCGGTTTGTTTAATAGATAAGAAGGACTGGTCGGCGTCGCGCTGTAGGAGCTGGAGAACGTGCTGGCACTGCTGGGCACTGAGGCATCCGCAATGGCCAAGAATTCCTGCAAGATGCCCATTTCGAATTTGAATAAATCATATAAAAATATCAAATATAAAGCTAAACATATTTTATATTCACAAACCTTCTCAAACAACTGAAGCTCCTTTTCGCTACTGGGATTGCTGCCATAACGGAGCGAGCTCCACTGTACCTCCAGCATGCGCAGCGCATCCTCGAATGGGAACTCCCGCTTCAGCTCGAGCAGCAGCCAACGGTAACAGAAGAGTAAATCGTCTGCCTGCTGCGACTTGAGGTACTCCCAGAACTCGGGATCGTAGAAGCTTAGTGCCTCTGTGAGGTGTGCGAACTTCTGCGTCATCGCGATGCCGTCTAGCATGAAGTTACCGCGGACTCGAGACATAATGGCACAGAAGCATATGTAGGCCTGGGCTTCATCGTTCATGGTGACCAGAAGGGGCGAGGCTATATCCGACATTCCCTGACAATAGCTCACCGAGGGATGGTTCAGGGCGTAGGTGGTGAGGATGTTGAAAAGCGATGCAATGTTCTGATTGTCGTCGCTGCCGGCGTAGAACGGATGCAGTCGGTCCGTGCGCAGGACATCCTTTTTCACCATGCTGGTTACGTAGGCGAGTTCTCCGGCCACACTGCCCCGTTTAATGGCCGCCTTCCATGTGTCCCTAAGCCTGCAGTACTGCTCCGACTTGCGCCGCATAAACTCCATACGCTGATGCCCATCCAAGGCCAGTCCGTGTGTCCCGCCTGGATAGACATTAAGCAGGTGCTTCCACACAACGCGGCGAAGGCTAGGATCGATCCCGCCCAGGAAGATCACCTTGTGCAACTCATCCTTGCGCTGGATCTGGCCTAGAGCATCTAGGAACAGGCGAAATTCGCTGTCGCACATGGGAGGACGAGGCGGAAGATTGGCCATGTGTTCCTCGGACAAATTGAATGCCTTCTGAACGATCGAAAAAGTCTTTTCCATGTGATTCATGATGAGACCCGGCAGCTTCGTCTGCATGTGTTGAACATATTTCTGCGAGACTCCCAACGACTGCAGCGGCGACACCAGCTCCCGGGCAGATGCATGACCGCCACCACTAGCACTCCCCCCACTTGGGGAGGCAGAGAGTGTCGATGAGGTAATGCTGCTTGATCGGCTGGTGGTTGCGGGTGACTCCGTCTCGCACTCCCTTACCAATGTGAACGGTTTCACATCGATCTGCAGCATCAAACAGGGCTCTGAGGCCGTCTGTATGGAAATGTTGTGAATTCGAAGAAACGCCGCATCGAGGTCCCAATCAGAGCGGACGGCCAAGTAAATTTCATTGCCAGCCGGATCAAAGGCTTTGTATTTAATGGAGAAGTCCGACTTGACGTCAAACGCCTTGGCGAGCAAAGAGTACAGAACCTCCAAAGTTGTAATCTGGGGGTCTACCGAAAACTTTCGCCACTCTGGTTTGGTGGTCGACTCGCATTTCTGCAACCAATGTGAAATGTGATAAACGCGAAGCAGTGGCCTTTGTTGTCTCGCTGGCCCTCTTGCTACTCACCTTCACTTTAACTCTCACAGCCTCTCTGGGGCAAATGCCTGCCATCTTGTTGTTGCACTTTGCGACTAACTTGTTTCCATTATTTTCATATTTTTTCTTTTGTTTGTATTTGATTGCTTTGGAGCGAATCAAGAGGTCGCAAGTAGAGCTGTTGTTAGTGATGTACCGATGTTCACTGATGTTTTCCGATGTTTTTGCTGTTACCGATGTTGAGTGATGCATCGATGTTTTGCAAAACATCGGTAGTTTCATTTCATATCATTGCAATGCCAAAGTAAGTAAGCATATTTTATTTAAAATAAATCAAATTTACTATAGATGGTATACATTTGTTTAAATATGAAACTGCAAACGCCGTTAACATCATTCGAAGGCAACCCGTTGTGTGTTTGGGAAGGTACGAAGAGTACTGTTCAGTCACAGACAATAAACTATTTACTTTATTGCTGCCAAGTACCTAAGTAAATGCACTGAAATGTAACCCCCGCACAGAGTAAGTGCACCCTATTTAAAAATTCACTCAAATGGAGCCTGTGAGTTCCTTCCCCTACAATAAGAGTACCACTGCTAGCTATATAAGGAAATCAGTATCAGAAACAACCACAACTGCCTGTCACTAATTTTCCCATCGCAATCATCAGAGGCTGTCGCCGTGTCTTCAGATCCTCATTTTGCGCCCCGTAGGACACCCACTCCGCAGTCCAACTGGTTCAAATTCTAGTTGCGACGACCAAACTGTAAACGGTTTATGTACCGTATACAACCCAGCTTCCAACAACACAATTTTTAAGTTTTAAGATTTTGTTGTATAATAATAATAATAATATAATATAATCAAATGGGAAACATTTTGAAAACATCGAAATCATCGATATCCGCAACCCATCAGCGCGGATTTGTCTTAGCCCACTCAACCCCCCTCTATTTAAACAGATTAACGACTTGATTTAAATGGCGGCAAATATTACTGATTGTAAATTCTTCTTCTAGGTCCATGCCATCTTACCTCTGAACTTAAAAAAAAGCCACCCTATTTTTGCATTAAAATTTTCAATTTTCATTATTTTCGGTGGAATGTAAAAATAACACTTTGGCTTATAACAGGTTAATCGTTCTCCGTCAAGGATTGGAATTGCTCAATTTTTATGTTCCGTCGAATTTTATAAGCTAGATAGAACATATAGACTATATATAGACTTTATATATATATATATATATGGATTTAATGAAATTTGTATGTCTGCCTGGCAGACCATAGTAGTTTATGGAGAACAAAAAATAGTGCCTTTTCGAATATCTGAGATATAGGATGAGTATTTAAATATCAAAACCATCTTTTGGAAACATATTATTTTGTTACCACATAAAATATTTTATTATATTCATTTCATACTCATAATGGGTTTAAAAACATCAATGTTCAGCCGACTACGCTTTTTTCCCGTTAGATCTGACAGGATCTGCATGAATCGCTATGGTGGACTACATAATGTGCCGCTAAAACGCCTGGCGGATGCGGACAAACTATTGCCCGAAACAGCAACCACAGTCGCGGACACAGTCACGTTACAGATGAGGAACTAGAACTTCACTAGCAAATTGGGCGGACAACCGGCCTGGCTGGGTGGCCAAGAGTGGGTGGGTCCTGCTTTATGTAAACAATTTTCCCCACTTGGGCAACATCTGGTACAACACTCTGCTTATCTGCGGATCAGATGAATATGGCACTGCCACCTAGAACAAGGCTCTGGCCGAACCTGACGCCGCGGGTGATCTGCGACAAGTTCATATATCGCTGGCTTGGCATTAGTTTCGATTACTCCACCACCCAGGAGCAAACATAGTTGCAGCAAGGATGTCCACAGTGGTTTCTACATCATCTGCCAGATGTACGACCGTTTTTTGGCCGATCTGTGAGTATTCCATGACTATCTACTTTGAAATGTAATCTTTAAATCGAGCTTTGTCTATAGTTTTGTGGAGAGCACCTGTCCGCATCCCGGCTGCGGCTATGCAGATGCTTGCGGGGATCAATGCAGCAAGCTGGTGAATGCCACCGAACTGATCCGTCCACGCTGTCCTCGGATCAGTACTGTATCGATCTACCAAAGACCGAGCGCCTGCTCCGTGAGTGGGTGGATAAGGCGGCTAATGATTGGACCCTAGGTGAAGGAGGGCCTCAAGTCGCTATGCATCACTCGAGACTGAAATCGAGTATTCCAGTGCACCACAGTAGCTTCGAAAAGAAGGCCCAAGCGATGCAGTAGAATTGCGAAGCCATTGCGCTATTCAAAAAGGGCATTAATCTGTTCCTCCAAATACCCAAAAATACACTGCTCTAGCACTGCACCAAATGCGTTGCAAATACGGACACCACTTTTAAAAAGTTGCATTTATCTGCAGTCCTCGGCCAACCGCATGAAGAAGTTTCTTTAATTTGTGTCTCCCAAGCCCTTACGAGATATCGTTGTATGTAAAAAAGCGTGGAAGTGATTTCGTGTGATACTTTCCACACACACACTTTTTCCCCTTCCTGCGGATTCTTCAACACAACTTTTATAAAAAAAAAATGTATTTGCAATAGTTTCAGGTAATACGGAATTGCCAGGAAATCCAATTCGTACCAAAATTATGGCACACACCGCGGTATTGGAAGATCCACGGCATGTTTCGGGTTAGAGTGTGCTTAGCTTGTTTTTACTGCCACAACAGGCTCAGGATGGACAATGGTGGCATCCCGGGCTCGGCTCCCTTTGAGAATCCTGCAATTGCATGGAAAAACATGGAACAATTCAAGAGCTGAGCTGCTTTTTCCCAGCAGTCACCGCGTGCTGGCGAACAAAACAAAAACATACCCAGATAAAGCACCATTGGCACGAATCCCCAGTGGAATGTCGTTTGGACAACGCCGACGACCACTCCCAAACGCTCCTTGACTCCTTCGGATAGCTCCATTTCTTATTTTATTTATTTTTTCGATAATCAGAATCAAAGATTATGAAATGTGTCGACAGAAATCGCCAGAACGCCTGACAGTATTGGTAAACGGGTGCGACCAAAACTACCAGACTTCAAATATTAATAATTCTTTTTTGTTTTGCTGAATTTCGTAGATTTTGTGTGTACACTTTGGTCTTTTTTTATATTCATATTATCAATGTAGATAGCAATTAATAGATCAATGTCAATGTTTCGTGGCATCAGATAATTTATTTACTTTGATTGGCTGGAAATTCATTGCGAGATTGGGCAACACTGCAAATAGAGAACAGCTGGTTTTCAACTCTCTTTGACATGTGGAACGCTGCGCTTTAGAGAATTTTTATTTTGGTTTTAATTTATTCTCACCGCCAAATTAATTATTCTCGACGCAGATCGCCACGGATTGCACCTAGCAGCAGAGAGCGCCATTCAGCTTAGTCGCGCCACAAAAGTAAGTGATAAGCACCTCAGTTTCTCTATCGTATTGTCATTTTCGCAGGCGACTAGAAAAAAGACATTGAAAAATCAATTCCGTATTATGTAAGCTTCTCGGCACTCATTTAACTACAGTTTCTCTGTGTTGCAGCCGCTCATTGCCTGGCCGGACCATGAAAACGACCAATCTCGGCCTGTATGCTTTCCGTTTAACCTTCGGACAGGTAAGCCTTCGTAAATTAAACCAGAAAAACGGGAAGGTATTGTAGAAAGCGCACCAAGAACAAAATGCAAATGGGTGAACGGTGGGGTTAGGGGATTTCCGAAGTAACCCACTGAAGGCCGCCCCTACCGTACACACACATACACACACACTCACAAATGATGGAGCTGGAGAAACTGCAGTCGGGCGACCCGTGCCGAGAGTGCCTGGACCTGGGCCTGGACCACAGGCTACGCTACTTTTACATCAGTCTCGAGGAGCAGCTGCTAAAGTGCGAGTCCCGCAGCTGCCTTTGGCCACAAAACGATGAGGTTTCCTCTGACGAGGAATTCGACTTTGGAGAAACAGTTCCCATTGAAGCCCCACAAAATGAAAACACTGCTGCTCCAGACGAGGCCGATGAGTTCATCCTGCAGCTGCTGCAGGACCTGGGGTCAGGCGTAGAGCCAGCAGCAGTGGAGACCCAGCCGGCGTCTGATTTGAATCTCATCTCCATGCCGGATCTTCTTTCTGGTCCTCTTACTGAACCTGAGGCTTGTACAGGGCTAGATTTTAGCTGGCTGGAGCCGAGCATTCCCGATAAGAGTGAATTCCCGAATCGCGTGATAACCAAAGAAGAAATTCCGCAACTGCCTAAGACGCTGCAGACTGCGCCTATGCTTAGTCCAAATACTGATACCTTCAACACTGCGCCGATACTCAGTCCCAGAGCTAGGCCAAGGAGCGATCCCTTCTGCACTCCGCTCCCGAAGGCATCCACTCTGCCCCGGAAAGAAGCAAACCTTAATCCAGTGCCCTTGAAGACGGCATCAACACAAGCGAGAATTACCGAGAAAGAAATTCTCAGCAAGGACAACCCGTTCCTGGACGCCATAAAGCGGCATGATGTTACGCCAACCCGCAGCTCAAAGACGACGCGCAGACGCCCAGTAGTCAGAACTGGGACGGGCACGGCTTTGCGGACGCAGGCGGTGATGCAGCTGCTCAAGCACCGGCAGGAGCAGGCAGTGGGAGCCGACTCGGAAGTGAAGCGCCCACCACAGCTATGAAAATTTGCAATTCTTTTTGTTTGAATAAATTTGCGAATGGAATTATGCATATGAGAATACGAGAAACGAAAGCAAGTTCGTTTATTTATAAACAATTTCGCTTTGTCTTTATTTTGTGTTGCGATTTGTGTGCGCACGCCTGTGTGCGGCACGCGCCTAGCGCATGTTCGAGCGTGCCAGAGCCAGAGCAACGATGCCGAAGAGATGTGAACTTTGGCGGCAACGAGGACAGGCTGAGTGCGTCTCGGGATTATAGGCCGCATCGGAGGCTTATCCGTGGAAATTTTGACGTCACGAGAGGGACAAAGATTGCAGCACAACGGCGTCGTTAGTGGTGAGAATGAGATCGGCTGTCCCTATTTAATCAGCTATTACATCGACCCCAGGCCACTCTCGTTTAATCAGTTCAATGAACGTGTTTGGGCCTGTGTGTGGGGTAATCGGTGGCATGAACCGGTTGACAACGGCCCCGGTCGCAGTTTCTTTGCTGCGTAGTAAACGAGACAGACACTGGGCTGGGCACTGGGCCAATTATATAGCGGCACTTGTTTGTTTGGCCTTCTAAAAATACTCGTATCTACAAAATTTAGAGAGCCGTGTGAGATGGTACCGCTTCTAATCGTGTTTTTCCTAATCTCTTGCAGGCGCCGCCGCTATCTGCGCAGGCCTCGACGAACTGCAGCCATGCGTACACCACGAGCTCGTCCAGCTCCAACCGTGTGGTGACGCGCTCGGCCACCATGCTAGCGCTTTTCGGCATCGCCCTCTCCTCGTTCAGCCTGAAGCAGCTGCTTGCCAAGAAGCACAGCAAGCACAATGCCCTGCGCAAGCTTTAAAGAGGAGGATGTCCCTGCCGAAACAGACGGAAACGATGTTGGGCTAACATCGGAAGCAAAGGAATAGCGAGGAGGCCAGCCGCCATGTCCTGTAGTCATACAATCTGCCATTATATATCCATTATCCATTATCATTACAACATTCACACTGTACATTTCTTAAGTTAAGTCACCCGATCGCAAAACTCAACAACAGGCATGACCGCGAGGCAGTTTATTTTGTACCAACTTTTGTTTAAATGCTGCACCTATAACATGCATATATTGTAGCTATACTTTCTATACTGTTCAGATCACTCGCAGCGATTTCGCATGCAGCGCCAACAAGGAATACAATTTGTGATAATCGTGTAGTGTATGAAAAAATACAGAAGGATGTACGGTTGAGGAGGATAGAAAATTTCTAAATTTCCGCTTACCATTTGATTTTTTGATCCCCGTTTAGTTTTTACATATGTATATTTATATATATTTAGTTACAAATTGTATGTAAATTGGAAGCAACTAAAACCAGAGAAGCGACTAAGTAGGAAGGGATATACTCGTACATACATTATTGACACCGTTGGACAGTGAATCGCTGAATCGCAGGCTGTGTGCGCTTCAGGTGCAACAGTATCCAATCAACAAATTAGTCTTAGTTCCATAATCTAATAAATGCAATTTATTCAATATGGAATGTCTCGTTTATTACTATATTATTATATTATATATATATATTACTGTTTTATTCAGATATCCCTTAGTCCTATTTAATATTGTTTCCTGTACAACGTAACAACAACTTAATGGATGGCCCGTGAGAACATAACAAAGTTGATCGAACAGTGGCATTATATTGCGTATGGCATCGAATAATAATGCTTTGATTAAACTTATACTGATTAAATCTATTATACATATGTATACATGTACATTTAATCGAAAAAGTCCGACGGGAAATGGAGCAGAGACATTTTAGAGAGTTAAAACCTCTTAAAACATAACAAAACACAAATCTTCATAAACTGATGATTTATAAAAATACCTCACATTGATGTATCTAAATAATTGAATGTGTTTGCAGCTTCGATTAAACTCGATCGACACCTTACTATGTGGCATCTTGTTTATGGGAACTCGGCCTTTGTATAATTGTGATCCAAGTTGATGTTATCTACGACATCAGGATAGATGGATATGGTGGGTGTACGCTAGGTGTAATTGTGAACCAGGTTCGTCGCATCAATGACCTCGAGCAGATGGGACATGGCCTGCTCTGTTGCGCTCCGCTGGGCAGTCTGATTCGCTGCGCTCGCGGTTCGGTTCCGCTCACGGGCTTCCCAGTACTGCATTGTCCGCACAGAGGGTAGTGGATAGTTCCTTCTCAGCAGGATGTTGCAGACACTTCTGCTGGCCGCATACAGATTATGCGCTTCTATTAGGTCCGCCCTGGGCCACACGATACGCCTGTCATTCTGAATCTTTTCGATTTGGGCCGGGGAGAATATCCTCTCCAAATTTGTAACGAGTTGTCCATAGAGGTCATTCGATTTGTCCAGCTGCCGTTGCAGTCTCTCCGTGTCCCTTTCGCTGGTCTGGATGGACAGATTCATTATTAAGTTGTCCCGTTTCAGTTCGGAGCTGCAAAAACAGTGAAATTAAATTGGGATATGCAATGATTTTGATCCCTACTTTTCCTTCTCCAAGACCTTAAGGTAGCCATCGGCGTCCACCACCTGTACTTGCAGACACTCCTCCGCAGGCAGTTCCTCAAATTCGTAATCACTCTCCGACTCCTCTGGCTGGTTCCTGGCAGGCTCTTTATCGTATTGCACCATTAGAGTTTCCTCGTTTGTCTCTGGTGGCAGCAAATGCTCCTCAACTATTTCTAAATCCATATCTTGATGCGATTGCAGGCTGGGCACAGCTTCTGGCTTTAGTTTGAGGGGTGTCAGATATCCACAGACCCCCCGATCCAGCCGCAAATCCCTTTCAAAATCCTCCATTTCAAAGTGCTCCAGGCAAATGCGTCGTAATTGGGTAATTTATGTCGTCAATTCGGCGGCAGAAGAGGGTCCACTGAAGGCGCAGCTTTGAATCGATGGGAAATCTGAAGGAGCTCTGGCTGCTTCCCGTCAGGGGGGTCCTGCACTCCTCGACGGCGCAAAACATATTCGTTTTGGTATTAAAACGGATTTTCTATTTCTATTTATATTTTATATTTTTATATTTTCTATTGCACTCTTTTGGGCTCCAGTGACGTCAGCTGTGCGGGCGAGCAGTGTTGGGCAACGGTGCGGCAACGTCAAAACCATATGAAAAAAACTATTCCACAAATGGGTGACGTGCCCGTGCCATCAGCATCGACAATTGTTATTATATTTGGTTAACTGGAAACGGCCAAGCCACCGGCCAAATCAAATCAAATGCAGTAGACGCCTCACCGGAGAACAACGGAGCTGCAGTGAGCACACAGATTGATTGTTTGTCGCTAGTGGCGACAGGGATAGGTGGTACGACAGAGAAGAATGGGTATAAACGTCAGCCGGACGGCGGACCTGGGGTCCAACGAGTGGCTGCAGCGGTTCGTTGGGCGACACCACATTGCACACGATGACGAGGCCTTCTGGAACGGACTTCTCAACTACAACATTGTGTTGCCGGAGAACAGGTGCGTACTGGGCGGGTGCTGGAAGTGTGTAAACGTCATCAAGCGGTCTGGTTAACGTTTCTTCGTTTTTTTCAGCCAGGACCAGCTAAACCTGGACAGCCGGCTGGAGACGCTATGTCAGTCGTTTATCGGTAATAATCTGAAGACTGGCAACTTCGGCTCCCTGGTCACTGTGTTCCTGGAAAAGACCAGCGAGCTGCTGTCGCTGTCTGACCAAGAGAGCAACATGCATGTGTGGCAGACCTTCAATGCCCTCTTCATCATTCGCACCTTGGTCAAGTACATCAATGAAACGGGCTCCGAGTTCCAGCTGCTGCAGCACTTCGAGGCGCTGCCCAGCGCAGAGCTTGTGCAGGCGGCCGTTGAGCTGCAGCAACAGACGCCAGCGGAGAGTGCCACCATTGCCATCGAGGCCACAGAGCAGGCAGCGGCTGCCGCCGCATCAGCGCCTGTCTTCGTGGACGGCGCCAAGTTCGAGACCTTTATTGATGCCTTGGTGAACCTAATCGTAGTGATACCCGTCAAGGAGTTCACCTACCACTTGCACCTGGAGGCTGTCAATATGCTTATCACGCTGCTGTCGGTGCATCTGTTTGCGCAGCAGCCCACGGAGAAATCGATAGTCTTTCGCACGGTCTTCAAGTGCCAGCACGCCAACGTGCTGATGTCGGCCCTGCTGCATTTTGTGGCGCGCATGGTGGAGGTGCCGCATACCATGTTCGGCTCCAGCTCAGCAGGCTCCATCGTCTTCGGCATCGCTGAATCGCTGCTATCCATCTTCACGTTCCGCAAGCAGCAGGATGTGCTGAAGGCAAGCAACGCCGTTGGCGGAGAGCTTTCGCAGCAATTTCGCACCCACTATCCGCTGGCCAACCAGAGTCTACTGCTCATCCTTATACTGACAAACCACTGCACGGCCCAGGAGAATGCCTATCGCGCCAGTCTCTTTGGCTGCGCCGACTCCAAGGACTCGCCCAAGCAGGGAACGGTGTCCTTCCAGATTGACTTCTCGGCCGTGTACGAGACACTTTGCCGCATTGTCACCATTGACCAGGCCACGCTGCTGCTCTATCTGCTGCTCCATCGGAATGAGCGCTTCTACAGGTTCGTCATGCAGCAGCAAGACCTGGAACAGTTGGTCATCCCCATTCTGCAGACTCTGTACAATGCCCCCGACAGCAACTCCCATCACATATACATGTCACTGATTGTACTCCTCATTCTGAGCGAAGACGAGGGCTTCAATAAGAACGTGCACACAATTGTATGTTGTACCTGTCACATGCTCTCCTCCCATCCCATCTTATCCGCGTGCTATTTCCATACTGTTTCCAGATGCTGAAGAATATCACGTGGTACACGGAGCGCAGCATATCGGAGATATCGCTAGGCGGCATTCTTATCCTGATCGTCATCCGCACCATACAGTACAACATGCTGAAGATGCGCGACAAGTACTTGCACACCAATTGCCTGGCAGCTCTGGCCAACATGTCCGGACACTTCCGAGCCCTCCATCCATATGTGGCGCAACGCTTGGTCTCGCTGTTCGAGACACTGGCACGGAAGCACACGCGACTGGATGCCCAGCTCAAGGAGCCAGCCGACAGCGCCGTGTTTGTCAATGTCGTTACTACGGCCGAGGATATGCTTCAAGACCTGAGCGTACTGGAGGAAGTGCTGCGCATGGTATTGGAAATCCTCAACTCCTGTCTTACAAATCAGCTTGTGTATTGTCCGAACCTGGTCTACACGCTGCTGTACAAGCGCAGTGTCTTTGAGGGCTTCCGCAGTCATCACGCTTTCCAGGATGTCGTCCAGAATATCGACATGGTAAGTTATACTCTTTAAAAACATATTCAAGTAAAATGATTTATCCCTTTCCCTTTTCAGGTGGTGGGCTTCTTCTCATCTCGTTTGCAGCGCGTGCAAGAGCAGCGCGGCGAACTGGGGGTCAATGAGGTGCTCGAGGTGATATCGAAAGGTGCCAGCCAATGGTCCAGCGATCGGCTGAGGGTAAGTGAGCCTTTAAGCCAATGAGAGAGATATGTGCTTCATGAGTTTTTATGGCTTATTATTGCAGAAGTTTCCTGATCTTAAGTTTAAGTACGTTGAGGAGGATGCACCCGAGGAGTTCTTCATTCCATATGTCTGGACGCTGGTCTGCAAGTATGGCTGCGTGCACTTCAGCTCGGAGAGCATAAAGACCGTCACCACGGACATTGCCTGCTAATATTTGTCCACGCTCCCCACGCACACTCTTCTTATTCGCTTCTCCTATCCATGAAGCACATCTGATCTATGTATATGTCATCTACTAAGACAGAGCCTGGCTCGCACCTATGTATGCCTAATGCACTAATTCAAGCCAAAAGGTCAAACTGTTGTATCGAAAGAAAAACGAAAAACACATCTCGAACGTTGACGATAAATGGAAACAAAGCTGGACAAGCGATCTAATGATAATACCTAGAGCAAGTAACGCTATTGTATGTTAACCGTCAATCCAATCGGAAATTGTTCAAACCACATAACATATGATAATATTTAGCTGCGCTGACAAACGGAGCATACCTATGGATGTTGAGCGGCAGAAACGAAATCGATAAAAAGTATATACACATATTGAAGAAAAGGATAATATATATATCTATATATATATATATAAATATACCTATATATGTATACATAAACATAGATATATTTACATTGCGTATTTTAGTCTATGGATAATGATATATTATTGTATTTAGCAATTGGAAAAGTCGATAAATTATATAATAACTAAAGTTTATCATTCTCGTGCCCCTCTGTCTTTCTGTATTTAATTTCTCTATCAGCGCTTGGATAAGATAACTTTCTGGGTGGCAAATCCTAATGTGTTACCAAATTTTCTTATCTTCGCGTAGACAGTACGTCTATTCCATTAGATAAAGTTGCTTATAAACCCACACGTTGGATAGTCTTAGAAACAATATCTGTGGCACAGTGAGGTACATCTAATACAAAAAATTCTCGTGTCACGGTGTACACTTGTACATTTAGCAAATAGGTATGTAATTCCTGTTTAAATCGTACTAATATACAAAAATCTTTAGGGTCTGTGTAGTTAGGTACGGCCGCAAAGCATTGTTTCGCTCAACCATTCCTTCATACTCCGGCGACATCCCCTTGCCATCCCTGCCATCCGAAGCTTCCGCATTATTGTTGCAGAAAACTTAGTGGTTGCATCCCATACCTTGGGATGCGCTACAATAAGTGGCACGACCCATTTGTGGGTCCAGCGTTTTTAATCTATTCATACTACTCCTTTCGCTTACACCTCTGCATCACTGTTCTTCGTGGTGTCGTGTATCTCCTTCCTCTCCCGTATCAGCTCCTTGAGCGGAATTAGCGCAGTGATGACTATTTTTTTTTTTTTTAATTCCATTTAATTGCTCGTATTTACAACTTATTTTATACTTAAAGCAAACTATATTAAAGGTTAGGCTATGCAAGCCCAACATGTGTGGTACGGCCGTGAAGCAATGCTTCACACATGTGCAGGCTTCGTTTAGACTAACTGGACTCTTGTCTGGTGCTCAACAGCGCGCAGTTCCCTCATAATGGTCGCCGCGAAGCAGCTCGTCGCCTCCCAGTTTTCCGGGGACAGGAGCATGCACGGCACCAAGCTCTGCTTGACTACGGCTCCACCCAGCGCTTCTTCTAGCCGCTGGCGCTGCGCTGCGAACCTGCCACACGAAAATATCGCATGCTCGGCATCCTCCTCCACGTAGTGCCCGCACGAAGAGCATTCTGCGGAGTCCGCGTGTCCGAAGCGATGAAGGTAGCTTCGGAAGCAGCCGTGACCACTGAGGAGCTGAGTCAGGTAAAAGTTGACCTGCCCGTGCTTCCTGCTTACCCACGCGTCGATGGACGGGATAAGCTGGTGGGTCCAACGCCCCTTAGTGGTCGTGTCCCAGCGCTGTTGCCACCTTCTGAGACTCTCCTGTCTGCACGCCGTGCGTACCTGCCTTTTCGCCGCCGCGTCCATTCCTCTGCCATGTGTTTCCTGGTAGTATGTGCTGGTAGTATGTGCTATGCCCGCGATCACGTGTGCTGCCTCGTCCGAGACCGTTCGGAAGGCACTGGTGATCCGAATCGAAGAGAGGCGGCCAAGTGCTCCCGAAAGAAGAGACGTGTGTCCACCAGGACACCAAGGTATTTAATAGCGCGCTTAGACGAGACCAGGGTACCTGCCACTGAGATGTTGGCCGTCTCAACTTTCTTCCGGCTGGATACCAGTGGGGTTGAGTTCGAGCCCGACCAGGTCCAGCCACTGTTGAATGCGCGCTATCGTTTGGTTACAGGTCGTTTCCACGACGGAAAGGTCTTTTGCCACCTCTAGGACAGCCACATCGTCTGTAAAGCCCACCATGTGTACTCCGTGGGGGAGGCTGAGTCGCAAGATGCCGTCATAGATTGCGTTCCACAGAGTGGGGCCAAGCACTGAACCCTGCGGGACGCCTGCCGATACCTCGTATTCCTCCGTGCCAGCCTGCGTGTCGTACAAAAGCAGCCTTCCCTCAAAGTAACTTTTTACCATCCGCTGCAGGTACCTGGGTGTGTCGAAACTCTCCAGCGCCCTTAGGATGCAGCTCCACCTCGCCGTGTTGAACGCGTTCTTAATGTCCAGAGTGGCTACTAGGCAATACTCTTTGTTGACTATTTGTATGTGTGTGTGTGTGCTACGTGTTTTATGACTTTAAAAGGTTTCTATACAGAGAGAAGACAACGTTAACAAGTTCATTGAGCATTTACATTCGCTTCTTTTCTTCTTCTTTCATTAGAGCACGAGACATTTTCTTAATATTCCGCTCATCTGAAAGTGCTGATTGATGACATGTGTTGCTCATCAGGAAAAGTGCAACTACATACCAGAAATTGAGACACCACCAGAACCATGGAACGGCTTGCTCATCGGCACGGATCCAAATTCAAACATGTTCCATGCCCATTCGGACATTCAATTCATGCTACAGAAAGACATTGTTTGGAGGAGCAGAAATAGTTCTCAGCCCTGCGGAAAATGGTTTGCCGGGTAAGTTAGTGATACCATAATGTTTTGATTTTGAGCAAAGATAAAACTATCATAAGGATTTCGAATTCATTGAGTGAAAATTAAATGGCGTTCCCAAATGAGTGTTTTCTAGAAAACATTCAGAATAACAGAATGTTATCTTCAGAGAACGAAGCTTTAGACACTCCTGGAGATTCTATTCGTAAGTTTTATATAGTCTTATATATTTGCATAAGTAGCAGAGATTTTTTAAAGGTTCTATTTTAGAAATTGAAAACTTAATAGGCAGCCTTCTGAACAAAAAAGTACAAAAGTACCACATGAATGTTCAGAAAAATGGGTATTGTGTATACGCAGCGTGTTCCCACAAATATTTGAAGCTCATGTTTTCATGTGTTATTGTTTTTTTATTTTGCATTTCATTAATCATGGGTGTATCGATGCCACCGATGTCTGCCTGCTTGCGCTTGATTATGCATATTTGCACTATCCACGGCAGCAGCAACAATTACAATGGGCCCCGTCTGGTTTATTACTACGTATTTTTCCCACCAGCAGCACCCCCACCAGCAGGCAGCGCCACTAACAGCCACAACAACAAGAAAAACCAAAGAACTGACTTTTACTGCCTGCCTGACGTCAAAGTTCGTTGACTTTGGTTGTTGTCGGTGTCGGTGTCGTTGTCGCTGTCGTTGTCGTTGTTGTTGTCGCCGCTTCAACATAGACACAGGCCCATCGAAAGGTTAGGCATGCAGTAGGGTGGCTGGAGGGTGGGGTAAAAGAGAATATTGTTATGCTCTCGCAGAGGGTATATATGAATTCGATCAGGATGACAAGTTGAGTTGAGTTGCAAGTTTGCCCACTGCCAAATTGAGATACTCGAGGAATGTCTAAGCGATCATAGACAATTTTTCAGAATATAAATAGGTGTAACAGGAAAACTTTTTGGTACATTCAGAAGCAGATTCGAAGCCCAACAATTGGCTTTACAAATATCAAATGATCGTCGCACTGTGGAAGAGTATCTATACTTCTGCAGGTCAGTGCTGTAGTTTCTGAATTTTGCATTTTTATTTGCACTGTGGTCGGCCGACTTGGTTGCCGTTGCACTTTTGTCCAGCGCTTCGTCGTACGTGCCTCAAATAATAAACTTCGAACTGCAGGAAAGCGAATAAAAAGGGGAAAAATGAAAGAAAACAAAAAAAACCCAAAGTAAACATTCATGTTGTATGGATGTGTAGCTAATAAAATGCGTTTACTGTAGTTGCGCTGCTGCCGCTGCAGAAACGCGGAAAATGTGTTATTGTGCAGTTTCATGGCATGTTGCCGCTGTTGCAGTGCCGCGTGCGCCTAGTGCATTTTAATTAATTTCTAGCTTGCAACAAACGGCGAAAATTGTTCAAATTTCTTTGCAGCTCATTTTGCCATTAATTTTGGCTGACTGCCTACCTCTGTTGCAATTTTAGTAACTGCAGCTACCTGCTTCTCTGGAGATGTACAGGCTAAAAAGTGCTAGCCATTTGGATCTGGCCAATAGCTTGTTCCTATTTCCGTTGCTACCTTGCTTCCACAATTGACTGAATTTAAATACCATTCAATTGAATTCGCTGCGTTGCCCAATCGCATCGCAGAATTTTCCAGAAGCTTGGCCAACAGCGAACAAATATTGCGCATGCTTTGCTTGATTGAAGCGAGCTTCCCTCCGCTCCACGCAGCTCACTCAGCCCCTTGACCAGACCGCAAATTGTTGAGCAAATTTCAACAGATGTACAAAATCTGTGGCCCATTCATTGGGACCCATTATGACACCTAATTTGATTGTGCGATTAAGCAGAAAGAAGTGAGAAATTAGCCCTCGAACAACCTCTTGTAACCTGTAAATGGAGTATAGAAGCAGGAGCTGGTCCTAAACAGTATACCAATCGAGTAAGTTCTCGAATGTTCCAATAAATATAACCATTCTTTATCAATCATGAAGATATGAAGAAAAATAAGATCGTATCGAAAAATATTTTATTTCAGTTACTTGATGGCATAGCGCCATCTGAATGCTATATGTACATATGTGTTTATATCTAGGACACATTTGGGGTAGATTTCACTTGATTCCATGGAATTAATGTATATCTTTGGAGCAAGGGTCATAATCAACATAAACATCGACCCAGGGTATCAGAGCACCGTAAGAGCTCTAGTAGCTGCCGGTCCAGTCGCCGGTTGCTATCATGTGTTGCAACTACGCTCAGCTCGATTTATTTAGATCAGTAAAGCCCGCATTTTCGCGTTTTGTTTTGGTGAGCGGCTTTAGGTCATTGATCCAATAGGTTGTTTATAAAACTGTTCGTCATAATCAACATAAACATCGACCCAGGGTATCAGAGCACCGTAAGAGCTCTAGTAGCTGCCGGTCCAGTCGCCGGTTGCTATCATGTGTTGCAACTACGCTCAGCTCGATTTATTTAGATCAGTAAAGCCCGCATTTTCGCGTTTTGTTTTGGTGAGCGGCTTTAGGTCATTGATCCAATAGGTTGTTTATAAAAGAAACCTATATACGAATAGACTAATGGGAATACAAATATATTTTACTACGTGTGTACGCTCAGGTACGTGTGCAGCAGGCCCGCACATACAGGTTAAAATGCGAATATTTTGGAAATTCGCCCAAGCCAAACGCCAGTCCCGGCCCCAGTCCTGTCCCCAAGTCCAGGCCCCAGACCAGACCCTCGATTTGCCCTCGATTAGGTCTTGCTTCAGCGACTTCGTCTCAAAATTATGCATATTTGTTGAATTAGATTTTGAGTTACTTATTTCGTTTTTTCCCCTTTTGGTTTATTGCCAATCGTTTTAGCATAAATTCGCACCTTTCAATTGTTTATGTTTGCTTGCTTCGTCGATGGCTTTGGCGTGAGTTTCTCACCGGTTTGTTCGTCCGCCTGCCCGTATCTGTGCGTATTTTTACCGCTGACGCAGTGGATCGTAGTGGTTCACCTAGACCCAACTGGGAATCCATTGACGTGGTCTAGTCATCTGTCTCTCCATATGACCTTTGCAGCTTTTTGATCTTGTTTGTCCATTTGATGTTGTTGAACAATCGATCAATCGATCGATTGAGTGCTGGCCCGCATGAATGGGCCAGTTTTGCATTGAGAGACCTGAGCGTTGGGCTTGGGCCATTTCCAAGTGAAATCTATGAAAGTAGAGCCGCTCTGAATGATTTTTGCCTCTGGCAAAGTAGCAAAGCAGCAAAGGGGCAAACTGCGGCGAACCAAAGCCGCCGACACTCAGTTGCAAACAATGTGAGGCCGCAGACACGGAATTCGCATCTGTTTATGTTTGGTGAAGGCATAAATACTGGTAAGTATTCAATGAACTGGTTTTCCATCTTTAGCTTGGGTAGTTTCTAGAAGAGTCTATACTACATTATAGTAACTAAATAACATTTAGTATATTAAGGATCCAAGTGAATGATGAATAGGTTTTGAATAACAGTTTACACTAAACGACCATTGATTGATCCGGGACAGCCCAATTATATATTATTCAAGAGTATTAATAGCACCGTCAACTAAATAATTTCCTAACACTTAACAAAACAATTAGAACATCAATTATTCAATCGACAATTATGTGTAGGACAATCGATAGATATTTTCCTACCTTGGAGGATATAAAACCAACTATTCCTGAGAAACACAAACCAGTTTAGAGTTGAGAAACAAACCCTTTGAAATGTCAGGAGTCGAAAGGCAGCAAAACAAAAAGATGAAGGAGAAGGAGAAGCAATGTGAATACCAGGACTTTATCTTTTTTGCGAACATAATGTTTAAGACATTGGGATACGACTTTCTGGACTCGGCCAGGCCATCGTGGCAAAAGGTTTTCCTGCGCTGCTACTTTTTCCTATGCATTGCCTGCAACTGCTATGAGGCCTCTTTCGTGGCTCTCAGGATTATCCAGTGGGAGTCTGTGGCCGGGAGTCCATCCAAGATCATGCGCCAGGCCCTACACTTCTTCTACATGCTCAGTGCAGAAGTGAAGTTTGTCACACTCATAATCTACCGCAAACGACTTCGTACGTTAATCTTAGGCTTGCAGGAGTTGTATCCTACGGACGACTCGCTTCGGAGGGAGTACGAGGTTAACAGATACTGTCTTCCCCGAGCGACGCGATATGTGTTGTACTTTTACTACTTCGTGATGGCTCTGATGGCATTAGGGCCTCTTCTTCAGTCGTTCACAATGTATTTTCTACAGGGGAACGATGCAAAGTTTCTCTTTCTTCGGATCTTTCCAACGCGGCTCAGTTTCCACGTGGATACTCCCAAAGGCTATGCTGTAGCCTATATCATGGACTTTACTTACAGCCAGTTCATCGTCAACGTCAGTTTGGGCACAGATCTCTGGATGATGTGTGTCTCGAACCAGATCTGCATGCACTTTGGATATCTGGCCAAGAAGCTGGCCGCATACCTTCCAAGTCGAGAACGAGAACGAGCGGATTGTGAGTTCTTGTGCAGCTTCGTGCAGAAACATCAGCAGATCCTCAGGTGGGAGGTTTTCACTCCACGGATATTTAATAAGCTTTGCACTTTGTTAAAGGTTGCACAAGGAGGTGAATCAGGTTTTTGGCCTCCTCTTGGCCTCCAATCTTTTTACCACAGCCAGTCTGCTCTGCTGTATGGCCTTTTACACCGTTGTCCAGGGTCTGAATGCGGAGGGAATATCCTACATGATGCTCTTCGCCAGCGTTGCTGCCCAGTTCTATATGGTCAGCTCCTATGGGCAGCGGCTTATCGACTTGGTACGATGTACATACATATAAGCTCGGTAAACACTAACTCTTTTCCCTTCAGAGTTTCAGCATTTCCATGGCTGCCTATCTTCAGAATTGGTATGATGGATCCATACGGTATAAGAAAGACCTCCTCCTTATTATGGCTCGCGCAGAGCGTCCAGCGGAGATATCTGCAAAGGGAATTATCGTTATATCCCTCGATACCTTTAAGATCGTGAGTAAACCTCTCTTTATACCCGGTACTCGAAGAGTATGGAGGTATGTATGTATATGTGGAAGTGTATGTAATAGCCAGAAGGAATGATTTCCGACTACATAAAGTATACATATTCGTGATCGACATCACTAGCCCAATGCAAAAAGCCAAACAAAAGGAAAAGAATGGTTGGTGTTGGTGCGAGAAAAGCGAAAGAATACAGATGTGTTATAAAATATGTATAAATGCTAAGAAAAATGAAAACAGGTAATATCGAATATATAAAAATATTGGCAAACACTTGCGGAGTACCGGGTATAAAGTGGCTCTTTACGTTTCCGCTCGTATTATTTGAATAATATTTTTCCTGGTTTGACAGCTGATGAGCATCACCTATCGATTCTTTGCGGTTATTCGCCAAACTGTGGGAAAGTGATCTGTTTCGAGAATAACCAGAAAATGATGTATTTTTTCTTCAGTTTTTAAAATATGTGCAAACGTTAATAACTTGTTATTCTATGTATTGAAAATAAACCTTTTTTTATTTGAATGATTGGGTAACGTTGTGTTAATACAATACATTTTTGTTCATTCAACAGACTTTCTATTGAAAATTAAGCTTTACAGACCTACAAATGTAGAGGTATTCGGTGGATTTGTATCCAGATTTAAGTGAGAGCTTGAGATCCGACCTGCATATTCCCTCGCAGTCCTTGTATCTTTCGGTCTCAAATCTTAGTGTATACTCTTTTTACAGTCTTCAATAGAAGAAGTCAAGTTAGAGCTCGTTTCCACAGTTTGTGATTGCATTTCTTCTTCATAAAATTGTAAAACATTTTTTAATTCAGTTTCAGTATAAAACTCTTTATTTCATGATGAATCAATTTGATTTATTTTATCACAATAACTTAAGCTCTAGGTGGATCGGTGGCGTTGGACACCTCCGAAAGTACAAAATAAATGGATCAATGACAGAAACTATATAAATATTACGTGTACAGAACAGACAATCGAATTGATTTGAATAGATTATGATGTGTATGTGTATGTGGGTTAAATTAAATGCTGCCTTTGGTTCTGCTACTTTGCAGAGCTCGAAAGAAAAGCAGGCGCCTTTGGCAACACATCGACCATATTGGCCGATCAGCAGTAGCTCCAGCTCCAGCTCCAGCTCCTGATCTTGGTGACCCCTACATTCCCTCGCAGGTGGACATGCAGTCCTTGTAGCTGGAGAAATTGTTCTCGTTGCCATCGCAGCCACCGAACTTGAACTCCACACACTTCTTCTGCTCGGGATCGTAGCGCCATCGCGGTATGAGGGCCCGACAGACGCCTTTTCGGGCCGGCATCAGGCAGAACTGCTCCGGATGCGTGTTGCGGCCCGTATTGGCCACATCGTCCAAAGAAATGGCATCAAAGAAGTCGCTCACATCATCGTACAGATCCATTGGGCGACCCTCGCTGACTCCCGCCACGGCCAGCAGCAGTCCCAGCACCAGCACCACACTGGCTACCTCCATCGCTCTCAACAGTCGGCCCTTTCCGCACATTGTTACACACTCTTAACTCAACGGAACTCAACTGAACACAGTCTCTGGTATACAGCTCTCTTTCTCTCTCACTTGTTCACCTGGCGACTAGTGGCACGCAACTGGTTGCATCGCAGGCCCGGCATTTGGTTTTATACGACGGCCAGTGACGTGACTGGCGGCAGATCGTCAGTGCCACGGCTGGAGCTGAGAGCCCCACATCGAGTGGAGCTTTCGAATTGGCTCCTAGGCTGCTCTCCATCGCTTGGCGTTGCCAGTGAGTGTGAGTATTATGAGTGAGCTGATGTTAACGGTTACTAATGATGCTCACTGTTGGAAGCTGCCGAGCTTTTTCGGTAACTCCGACTCCAGATTTACATTTATAAGATTTCTCCGTTGTTAGATTACAGTTTAAGTTTAAGGTGTTATTGTTCGCTAGATAAGCGCGACTACAGATCATTTAAGAGCATTGGGATTGAAGATATTATAAGAGGTTATAGTAATATCGTCACTATTTTAATAACTATTAGAAGCTGCTGATTCGAGCTGCAGTAACCTTTTGCCGAGTCCTTTTACCATATACAAACTCTTTACGTTTGTTTCCAAATAGTCACATCCAGTATGTAGTTAGTGTTGCCAGATGGTAACGGTTACTCAGTGATGTTAATCTCTTACAAGGTTCATCTTTGTCTGTTCTGATATTTATCACGTTTCTCTCCTACAATCGCAGAGATCGAGTGCCATTAAACCCCCCTCTCCCTTGGCCGGGCCAGGCCGGGTAATAAAATAAACAATTTTACTACTGTTGACTCATTTGAGAATTGTCTGTCTGGCTGCGTGTGGGAATCGTGCAGGGGCAGACGCAGAGGTAAACGCCAGAGTTGGAAAGAAAGCAAGAGTCAGTGTCGGCGGCATTAATTTGCGCAACTGCCACGACTAGGACTGGGATGCAGTTGGAGTGGGAGGTAACGCATAAGCAGATGAAGACAGTGTTGATGATGATGCCAGGATGCTGCAGCGAGAGGCGGAAACGCTGCAGCCGCAGGAGGTGGAGGTGGAGGTGGAGGTGGAGCAGCATTTGTGGCCATGATAAAAATTGCATGAGCTTGCACTTGGCATTTTATGCTGTTGCCTGTTGCCTGCCGACGTTTCGCAGGAGGGTTTCGGCCTCGGCCAGTCAGACGCTCTCCCCAGTTGCAGTCAAATTTTCATTTTTCCGCTCACGTACTTCGATTAAATTCTCATTTTGGTCATAATTTTCCAGTTTTTACGTTGGCTCCGTTGGCCCTAAATTCCACCTTGGCTCTCTCTGGGACTCTCTCTGGCTCTGACTCTGGCTCTGGCTCTGTCTCTAGTTGGCTTCGTTTTTTATGTGCGTGGCCCATCGAAGACATCAGCTTCTCTGTCGGCGAATACATTTGGAAAATTAAAAGTTTTCCTTGCTCCCCGACATGGCCTGGCTCGGCTCGGCTCAGCTCCGCAATTGTTGGCCCCGCTCTCCCATATAAATCAATTTGCAGCGAGCAAGTTTTATTAGCGCTGCATAAGTCCGTTAACAAGGCCCAGCCACCTGATGCAAGCTCCCGAGTCCGTATCCGTATCCGTTTCCGTGTCCGGGAAATACGTACATATGTACGTGTCTGTGGGCCAGGCTAATTCAGCGGCTCGCACCCATCGACAAGCGAATTCCCATTGAGCGTTGAGCGCTGTCAGAGACAGAAACTATCTGCAGGCTAAGGCCACAAAAGGAACTTTTGCGCGTAATAAATTGATAAATAGTCAGGACACACCTGCACGCATCTGGAACCCACTCATGGGGCAGCCCCGACGCCCCAGAGCATGCAACGGATTAACGTGTAACAAGCTGGAAAGTTGTCTGAAAGAGGTTGACACGGTTCTACTTCAAGCGCAACTTTAATGTGGGTTAAATTGGATTGGAAATATACTGTCGTATATTTTGCAGCATATTCGGTGAACCCTTTACTAAAGGCAGACAATATTGATCTTCCTGCTGTCTAATTGTGAAGGAGCTTGGCAAAGGACGTTGGAAAATCTTCCGAAAGTCATCAGATTGGTACATCATTTTGCAATAATAATAACAACAGTCTTGACTTCTTGACGCCAAAATAGTGTTCTAAACCTCGACAACCTGGTGATTTTGGTTGGTTTAAGCCCGTAAGATCACTGATCACTGCGTTTTGATCCGTCAGGATTCGAATGACATACAGCTACAGGTCCTAGCTACATCGACACCAGTAACTGTTCAGAAGTTTTTTAAATGTTTCGTGACAGCCGTGACTCGTTTGCAAAGCCAAAAAATATTCAATAGATGCATTTGGGAGCCTTATATTTAACTTTCGGGTGGCAACATCCGCTGCTAATTGCTTATAATTAACTAAATGACAGCCCGGACTTGGGCCTGGACCTGTAGTTGGAACCGGACGTGCCGACCACTTCATCTGTAGCTCATAAAGCAATCACATGCACTTGCACAACTATAAAAACTTCCTGACTTCCTGACTTGGCGTGGCTTGGTCTCTTGGACATGTTTTCTTGTTCTTCCGTCTGCCACATCCTCTGGTACGTTTTTCTTTCCTTAGGGGTCGTCATGCTATTGCCATTAGCCTAGCCTTTACTACTTTGCAACATTTCCTTTTGCGACTTCTTTTCGGTCGCTCGCTCGCTCTCATTTTTTCAGCCAACTTTTGGCAGTTTTCCATATGCAACACGCAACAGACGTTTTTATGTTTTCTCTGTGCGCCGCCCATAAAAAAGAAAAACCAGCCAGGAGCCAGGAGGTGCAGCAGTGTGCAGAAGAGAATGCCATGGTCATGGTCCATGGTCCATGGGGCAGCATCAACAGTTTGCCTCGCAGCCGGAAGGGTTGAATGCGTGGGGCAGACAAGAGAATGGAAGTCAATTATCGAATTAATTTAGTTATCCAGTGTCCGGCTCTGGACGGGACCAGACGGGCCTGGAAATGGTTACATTTTCACTTCATTCACGTCATAACTGTGAATGTGAATGGTAACGACTAGAACGGGAGGGATTATGACGTTTGCTGCTGGCCAGCATGGAATTCAAATTGTTTTTCCGCCAGCAAGCTGTGGCTGGATTTCGAAAATTTGCAATTAATTAAATTACTCCGCAAAATGAAATTTTTGTCACTACAAGCAATCAGTAGCCCTAGCCCCCACTCACAGGGATTCCCATTTCCTCACTTCCCACTCCTCAGTCCATATCCGTATGCGTCTCCCTTTTCCGTACTGCCTTTTCCGTATCTGTATTGGTAATTGATGTGTTAATCCGCACATTGACAGCGGTTATTGCGGTGGCTTTATGGAAATATGCCCGTGAGCCAAGCGCCCGCCCCAGGCCGGCCCTGTGCGGCCTACGTTTGGCATTTTGCAGACCTGTTAAAAGGATTTCGCGTGATGCATTTCCTGGCGGCGGGTTCTGCCAGGTACTTGCTAAGTAATTTAATTACATTGCTGCCGCAAATTTATCGCAAAATTGTTTATTGGCCAGAGGGCACTGACGAACTTTGTGCGACATTAAAACTTTCCAGCGGGGAATTGTCCGCTAATCTGTGGCGCATATTGAAATTGAGATGCCTTGTTATCGTGTCTTGTAAAGATCCTGTCAAGTCCTTCATGCCTGTGAATGTGAATGAATGTACTTCTTATTTTACAGAGTAAATACTGGAATAGAACTCGAACCGGCGTAACAGAACTAACATTATAACATAATTATCGCTCGTGGCTCCCCTTTTTCTCTCTGTGACAAGTGCTAAACAAATTTAGAGAAATTAGAGATCCTCCTCTCCTCCCCTTAACCAGCAATTTACTTCGTCCCTTTGCGAACAGCGGTACCAAAAGAGAGCGAGAGAATGCGGCAGTTATCGGCTTCGATACCGGATCCGGAGCACACGTATAATTACGTATGAAATATATAGTAAATATATAGTAAGCAGCACAAATCATAAGCTCCCCTATATTTTGACTGAGTAAAGGAAATAAAACCAGAGCCGCGGCCCTTGCCGCTACTCATACCGTTACCGCTCTTTTTTTGCTGATATATTTGGGTTTCCCGATTAATATCTAACTTTTGTGCGTGTTTCGTAAATTTGAAAATCTTTGCACATTCGGCATTTTTGTTTGGGAGTATGTACTTACAGAAATATAGATAGTCTAGTAGGCTAATAGTCTGTTTGAAAGAGTTAGATTAATAGTTTGTAGAAATTCTATTCATGAAGTTTCGGCTTACCGTTCCATCTGAAGGTTTCGGTCCATATAACTCTTCTCTATCACCCGCATTGTCTGTTCGGAGCTTGCTTCGTTGGATCTCATGTTTTTTTAATCTGATCTATTGGCGCATCGTGTCACATAAATTCCACAATTTTAAGAATGCACAAAATACACTAAATTTGTTGGTTGTTTGCCTCTTGAGTCGTGGCGTCTTTTTTGCCTGCAAATAGATGACACTTGAGGCCAAGAGGATACCAGGCTGGGAATGGCTTCTGGCCTCTGGACCCTGGCTCCCAGTTCCACGTCTGTTCATCTCAACACCTTGGCAAATGAAAAGAAATTGCCAAGAGCAAGACAAAACAGGACAAGGGTGCTGTCTGGCCATCGATGCTCCTGTTGATGCAGCACGTGCTGCTGTCTCTATATCTGAAACCCAACAAGGATACGACCAGGACAGCATACTTCAATGCAATTGCATTTAAATCAGTTGGCTGTGTGGTGTTCGTGCGTTGTTTTTCCGAGTCCTTCGTGTGTTGCCGCCGCTTGCTCTGCTCATAAATTATGCAAAATTTTTCCCAGCCAAACCGTCTCTCTATATCTCTGTGCGGCTTGTGCGCCATTTGTTCATTTCGAGACCAATAAAATGAAGCGTTTGAAAGTTGTAAATAAGTTCCTGCCGTTGGGCGTGTCTGCCTCGTGGCCCCTGTCCATGGCACCATTCTCCTGCCCGCCGCCGTCTGCGGCTCGTAAACTGTCGGGCATCATTTTGTCAGAAATATTCTATGCGCAACTCCCGCTTAATGAATTGCTTGTGTGCCGGCTTGCTGCATATGCATAAGCAGCTAAATTTGTTTATAGAAATTGCATTTAAATATGTTCTTTCCCTGACCCATACCGGGGCCATGCCGCGCCCCGCACTCATCTTTCAGCTTGGTGCCCGCTGGCAAAAATGCAAAAGTAATGGCAACGTATAATGGAACTGGGAACGCCATGCTCAATTATTGCGACTATAAGATACCCGCCACTCGGATTAAAAAAAAGAAATTAACTAGTTAAAGAAAACTTCAACTTTGAGTCGCTATCTTCGGATACATTCACTCTATCGACACGAATACAAAATCCTGCGAAATTACGTACAATTCTTTTTTCAATTTAATCATTAAAAAAATACTCATCCAGGCCTACAACCTAGTTTTTGTCTCGTGGAAAGCAAATAGTTTCCATTTTGTCGCATATTGGTCCGAACAGGTGTAACTCTGAAATATCTATTCAAAGTAAGGAAAACCATCGAGACATTCCCTAAGTCGACTTTTGTAAGTTCTCTTTTAATTGTTTCCATAATATTCGTAGTAATAATAAGAATGATATATGAAAAGACTCTTGATAGTCAGATATACCCTTATATTTAATTTTTGGCGGGTGTAAAAAAAGTTCCTTCTTTCTTTGTCGCCTGGTAACATAATATTTTACTCAGAGATCGTAGAAAGGGGGGAAAAATACAAATAAAAAAAACTAGAAGAAATTTGTTTGGACATGGGACTGCTGTAAAATGGGAATAGAAAAAACAAACGAAATGGCTCGTGCCATGTCATGTCCTGTGATGCACGAGTCCAAGGATGCGCTCGCAGTCCTTTTTTCCGCCTGCCCGTTTTCCTCTTTCTCTGCTCGGTGCTCCTTTGTCATGTCGCTGGCTCCCCATCCCGGCTCCCCTTTGAGCAGTCCGCCTGACAAGGCAAACGAATCGGGACATAAGTAGGAATCGCTGTAATATTTGCCAGGCAACATCCAGAGTGTTGCAGTCAGTGGGGGCCGGGACGGGCCCCAAAAAACTTTAAGCCAAGACAATGCTACATAATCGAAAAACAACAGACGGAGGCAGAGTGCTGAGAGTCCGCGTGAATTATGATGGATTTGTAAAAAAGAGGAATGCGATGAGTTTTCTTTGGTTCTGAGAAGAAGTTTTTTCATTTATAAAAGAGATTTCCGAAAAATGCAGCACAAAAAGAAGTATAAGGAAATTCCCGAAGACTAGAATCCAATAGAATGAAATGAAACAAACGAGTGAAAAGTCTCATATTTTGTATTAGTGGAAATATTTTTGAGTTAATCCACAATTACCGCTATTTCCATTATTTTGAAACGCGAGCATCTGGGATAGGTGCATTACCAAGTAGTTTGATCTATGAAGGCCGTTCAATAAGTCCGTGAAATTTTAACTTTCCCGCCTCTTACTTAAGAGATTCTTATCTGTCAGTTGACTCCTATCAAAACTTGAAAACGCTGCGACAGTTTGTGCTTGACAGCCATTTATTACAGACATTCTCGTAATTCGAGTTGAAATCAAAAAAAGTAAATTCCTTTTTGCTCATTAAGCATTTTTGTTTTGCGGAAAACAACCATCACTTACCGCGCTCGCTACAATCGTCCACAATGCAAGGGTGCAGGTGGAGACTTGTGCAGTTTCCGGATTAGGGATACAAAATTGGACAAATGTTAGAAAAAGTTCATAGACCTTAAAGGAGACTCTGTTGAAGAATGAAATGATTGTCAGAAAGTCACAGCCCTCGTATCTTCAGTGCGGTCCAGATTTTGATTTATTATGTCGGGTATTTTCTATTAATGGGATAAAACACTTAGCCTGAAGTAAATAATGTATGTCTTATATGGCAGAAGAAATTATATTTAGTTCTCTGTTACTTCACTAAATGCTTTTTCGAATATATAACTCCCAAAAACTCTTGTAAAAATAATCTTGGGAAAAGGAGCCTGCGTACCCCTTTGGGGCACTTTGGGCTAAAAATCAGACAATACGTTGAGTTTTCCTCATTCATAGTTTTGTTCAACGGATTATAGAGCGGCTTGGGGAGGCAGGGGGCAGGAGTTAGGAGGCAGGCAGGCAGGGAGAACCATCCAAGCCGCAAAACTTTTAATCAGAGACGAACGCGTTTGGAGCGCGCTAATTACATTAGTTTTGGTGGTGGTGCTGCTGTGCGACTGTTGGCGGTGCTCATGGAGCTCGTGATGCTGCAGTTGTTCGTCCCGAATGTTTGATTATTTTCAATTATTTCGAGCCGCACATTGTCCTTACTTTGGCATTGACAACGCGAAACGATAGCACCCACACGCTCATGATGGGCGGAGATGGAGACGGGCACGGGGAGAAGGAAATAGGAAATGTTATTGTCGCTGTTCAAAGCCCAACCCTTCGCCATCATCATCTCCATCCTCATTCCATTCCATTTCGATTCCATTTCCATTTCCCGCCTTCGCTTGGGAAAGTTTTGGTATAAAACAAAAATCTGATTTACATGGGAGAGGAAACAATGCGGCAGCTGATTGTGTGAGGTGTGGGCTGTGGCAGAGGGGTAAAATCATTTACATCCATTCATGTGTGTGTTGGTGTGTGTTGTTGCAACAAAGAACATTTCATGTTGAACAGATGTCGGAAGCCGCCGGCGCAGCCGTCGTACGTGTGGAAAAACTTAACACAATGCAAGCCCCAACCGGAGGGCAATGGGGGGCTCTGTGACATTGCCACTCTTATCTGGCCACGTTGTCAAAGTTGTGCGACAATGGCATCCAGTGCCGTGCATCCAGACACCTGTTGCCACCCAAGCCCAAGTGGCAAGTGACAAGTAAAGAACTGACTCCGAAAAAATCCAAAAGCCGAAAACCCAATTCAGATCAAGCTGGCTGGGAGGCACAACTTTCTAATTGAGTTTTCTCTGTACCTTTTGAATGATAATCTGAATTGGAACGAATCGTACCCAGATTGGAATATGATTTTCTTACAATTCTGGTGGACTCTGATGGTGCTGGGTGGTTCCAAGTTGCTCCCGGCCGACTCGGAGCCGTCGAGCAGCGAGAAGTTGCGCAGCTTCAATCGGGCCGTTAAGGAGGCGCGCGGCAAGATTCAGGATCTCCACGGCCAGGATCAGTACCGAAGACAGCCCAGGCACACCATCGACGATATGCTGGCCAGCTTTGCCCAGACCAGCAGCGGAGAATCGGAGGACAATGCCATGGCGGAGGCAGCCAACGCCTGGTATCGGGACTTCCAGGCAGGCCACAAGCAATCACATACTGTCAGTAAACAGAGCGGCACGAGCTACGAAAGTAACTACCTGAAGGATATGCAGAACACAGAGATCGGCAAGGTGAAGCAGAAGTACAAGGATACTGCGGTGGATCCCATCATTCCAGTGTTCGAGACCACCATGGCTCCCTTTCAGTACGGTGGTAGCGGTCTCACCTACCTGGACATCAAGCTGAAGCAGGCCCAGGAGATTCTAAACGAGCATGAGAAGACTAGCAAAACGGATCCATACAGGGTGAAGGAGTACCACAAGAAGGCAGAACTCAACGACGATCTACCGGAGTTTGAAAACAGGCCAGTGCCGGACGGGTTGTATGAGCAAACATTGCTCCGGCTCGATTCGCCCAAATGGAGGCCCAACAATCTGTTGCACGAGGCCAACTACAAGCTGTCTAAGATCGAGCAAGAGGCCTCTGAGAACGCCCAACGGAAAATTCCGCCCAAGGGCAGGGGCTTGAACAAGCGCAGCTCCTATCACGGCTTCAATCCAATGAACGAGATCAAGCTAAAGACGAGCAACCGCCTCATGCTCAAGGGCATGGGACCCTCGCTGCCGAGCAATGCGCTGGTGGAGAGCCAGCATGCCCATTTCGTGGACGAACTGATAAAGGGCCGGGAGCGGAAAATGAGACGGGAGCAGGAGCAGCAGCAGGATCCAGATCTGTATCTGGATCATTATCAGGAACAGAATCAAGAGGGATACATGAGCGATGATGGTGAACGGCGGCAGCAGTACGATGGCCTCAGTCCGATGACCAACAAAATGAGGCAGTCTCCGGAGGTTGTATCCTCCGGTGGCCACAACATGTTGGATCTGCCCCAGAGCTACGACTATCGCCTGCCCCCGTACGATCGCTTCCATGCTCTCAGCCAGCGGCAGATGCCCAACATGGTCGACTACTTGCATCCCAATCGCAGGTCCGTTGGGGAGCCGGGACGCTACAAGCGGGAGCATACCTTAAATATGACCGTGGAAACGACAGCAAAGGTGGCCGTGAATGAGCCAGGAACTAAGGCCGAGCAGCTGGACATCCCGAGTGTGTCTGCGCTCAAGGAAAGTGAACCAAAAGTCGAAGAACAACAGGATGTCAAAGTGGAGCTGGATAAAGAGCCAATCGACAGCAAGGTGGTGGGTAAAGCTACTGCTTTCGAAAAGGTGCAAGTCGAGGCTGATGCAAAGTCACTGAAAGTGGGAACGGACATTGAGGTTAAGCCTACGGAACCTACAGAGTTGAACGATGATGCTGTATCTGTATCTGAGGCGGACATTTCAACAAAGCCGGAGGTGGGCGAAAGTGCTCAGGACTCAGCTGTTAAGGTGGAAAGCAACGAGGCCAAGACAAGGCTAGAAACAGATGCCATCACTGAAGCCGAGGGTAGCCTGGAGACCCAGGATAAGTCAAACAGCCATGCCGTCCTACAATCGGTACTAGAACAGCCACAGGTTCAGGAGAAGTCCCAGGCGGCAGCCAGCATTGAAGATGCAGTGCTGCAGGAGAGCATCAAGCTGACTCTGGAGGAGTCGGTCACGTCCAGGCCAGCCGATGAGGTTTCCCCAGAGCCTGAGAGATCAAAAATAGCACCAGGTACTCCCCATTTGCCCAATCCCGATGCAGTGGTCAAACTTCTGGCCAATGAGCTGTCGCATTTTAGTGGCGACAAAGATCGCAACAAGCGGCACATCCAAAGCCTACGTCGTCGCTGGTTTCCCAGGAAAAACAGGCGCTCCAAACGGTCCATCGGGGAAGAGCAGCAGCCCCCGGAATGCCCCGAGAGAGCCAAGCGCATGGTTGCTCCTCTGCTGGACGACCTGGAGGACCACAATGGGAATCACTTGCATTTTGGAGACCTTGGAAGTGGCCTTCTTATGCCCGATGTCGAGGAAGATACCGATCCTTACGGAGAGGACGAGGCCAGTCTCTATGATGCTTCTAGCGTTCAGGTGCCCATGATGAATCAGCGAGCTAATGGAGTCTACCAGTTAACGCAGCAGCCTCTGCAGATACCACAGCAACAGCAGCAGCAGCAACAGCAGCAGCAACAGCAGCAGCAGCAACAGCAGCAGCAACAACAGCAGCAACAGCAGCAGCAACAGCAGCCGCAACAGCTACAGCAACCCTCCAATTTCAAGGCCAGCTTCAATTTGACTAACTTTTTTAATGAGCTTCAGAAGCTGCAAAAGAATCGTCCGCTTCAGCTGCAACAGAATCGTCCAGCGCAGCAGCAGCAACAACAACTGCAGCAGCAAGAGCAGCAGTCACCGATTCAGCATCAATATCTGGCACAACAGCAACACTTTCCACAGAAGCCATATCTGCCAAAACAGCAATACCTGCCACCTCAGCAACAGGCACCTCTACAGACCCAGCAAAAGCAGCTGCAAGCGCCGCCGCTAATGAAGCAATCCGCAGTCCATCGATACTTTGGTCCTTTCTTTAACAAGCAGGTCAAGAACAATATGTTGTCCACAGTGGATCCATGCATTACTCAAGTTGAACCACTGACACGGCCCTCAGTGTCCATAACCATTGATCCCAATTGCATATCAATTACAACGCCCGTCCCCAACATGATGACGGAGTCGACTACACCAGGGTTTGGTGAAAACAAAACGAGTAATCCATCCATGACGAATACTACCGATACGTCAACGAATGCAACGGACTCAGGAGGGGCAGATCAGGGTAAAACTTCTGGACCTGCTGTGCCGACCGGCGATGTCTGCAATAGTCCAGATGCCCTGAGGTTGAACGTGTCCATCAACGCGAACGTGTGCGGGGATCCAAAGACAAAACAGTTCTATGGCAACGGATCAATCAACATGCAGCCAGCCTTCGATCAGATGAGCACCGACTTGATGCTTGATTGGGCGGATTCGGCAGAGCACGGGAGTGACGATACTTTAATGCAGAATGATGATCGATATGCACGCGAAGCGGGTAGAAATTGGAGGGATAATACCGGCCACAGAAGGAATAATAGGTGGGGCAAAGAGAAGTCCAAGGGAAAAAAGGAGTACAAGCCAGAATCGAGCAGATGGTAAGTAGTACGAGATCCTGTATGGAATGATCCTTTGTTCACATCCACATCACATCGCTTCTTGCAGTAGTGGAAATACCAAATCCTGTGATGACAGCTTGGAGAAGCTTATAACTGGCAAAACGTCGGAGGACATTGTGTCGGCCGTCTTTGAGGCAGTCAGCAATGATCCGGGCATGGATCGTCTGTTGGCCGTGCTGGAGCGCAATCGCAAGGGCTCCCTTAAGAAGCCCAAAAACTTCTATCAGATCAGGAATGACAAAAACGATCAGTACCTGCATCAGACGGAGACCATGGTACGGGAGACCATGGCGGCCATTAGCGACATCATCGACAAGCAGGTGCGGGTTCGGTCCTGCATTCCCCTGCGCCCAGACCTGAGTGAGTTCTACGACCTCATCCTGAAGACTATGGATGAGCAGAAGAAGTGCCGCGAGAAGCGAGAGAACGCGCTGAGTGGTCTGGCCGACGACTTCAACCAGGATGTGGGTTTACTCGATAGCGACAAGATTGATTCCCGGTCTCGCATTGTCAAGAAACTTCTGCGTCAGTACGAGGAGCTTCCACTTGCAGATCAGCGTTCGGCGGCCAATGTCCGAGATGAACTTCTCATGGACCTCATGTACCTCCGCAAAATGGCAGACTCCGTGGAGCGCAGGCAGCGAAGTGCCAAGCTGCAGGAGGTGCTGCGGCAGACCAGCATGAACAACGTCATGCAGGCGCGCATCTCCAGCGAGTACTCGCCTCGCTTCATCAAGCTGGTGAAGACCGCAGAGCTCTTCAAGGAAGCGGGCGAGCAGCAGGCCAGGGCCTTTGTGGGACTCTAAGGTGGTTATTTTTTTATTTTTTTATTTTTTCGTTGAGTTCATTTTACTATTAAATAAAATTCTAAATGTCAAATCAAAATTCGTTCTTTAGTCTGTTAGAACTTTAGTCAGAGATTAGAGAAATCGTCCAACTGGCGCTTAAAAGCGCTACCGCTAGAGTAGAGAAGAATCGAGAAAATTTAATGATTTAATGTTGAATCAATCGGTTAAACAGATTACCTTTGAGTTATTCTTTTGGGATATCAATAGTTTATTTTTAATTGCATTTGAATTTCGATATATTCACATTTACCAAATCAATAGTAGTTTTATTTTATGTCACTCACTTTAACCGACTGTCAAGATAAACACGTATAAGATGCAGGTTTCATTGCTCCATCGATGCACCAAGATGGTGTTGCTGAAGAAGCAGGTGAGACGCAAGGGCTGGCACCTGAGGAGCTACAGACACCAGGCCTATCGGCGGCTGCGCATGATGAGCCAGATCCGCGATGAGCTGCTCCGTAAGGTGCGCAAAGCAATAGAGGCCAGGCAGAGAGATATGGAACAGGTGAAAAGGGATCAGGCAAGGCATGAGGTCGCCAGAACGGTAGCCACATACACGAGATGGCTGCACAGTTGGTCCAAGTCGCTGTTGTCGCAACGCCGGCTGATCGTGCAGCAGAGGCAGGAGGAACGCAAGTTGGATCGCCGGCTGCGTCTGCTGCGCAAACAGCTGGGGAGGCATCGCAGACCGCAGCGACTTCTGGAGAGGTGTCTGCTTAAGCTGCGAAAGGGTCTTGAGAGGACCTCGATCCTCCACCCAACCATAGAGGGTCAGGCGGACCTCTGGGAACAGGAGGTCGAGGAGGTTAGGCGGTATTTGTCGGCGCCTTACGACAGTCGAAAGAAGTCGCGAAAACCACGTCATGGCATCCTTGGTGGGTTCACTGATTTTTGGAATATGGAAGTGCTCCGCAAGAAGCGTCCCCGAACAGACTATGTGACAGCCGTGACCCAGAATCCCTCTGGTCAGTTATACGTCGTGCCAGCGATGCCTGCCAGGCCATCGAAGCCATGGAAGCCAAAGAAGAAAAAACATGCTGACCTTGACCCCGATACCGATTATGTAAATTTGATTGAGCTGCCCGGCGAGTACAAGAGCAAAAGGTTAAAGAAGAAACTCAAGATGTTGAAACGCAGTGATACCAGTGATACTCGTCTTCCGAAGCCAACAATCGATGAGCTGTGGCAGATGTATGCGGACCTGGTGGAGGTTGAGGCAGGACGACAATCGAAGGCGAAAAAAGCACAAAGAAAAAGGAGGCGCAAGTGTTCAAGAACTCCACGCCAAATGAATCTGAAGAAATTACTAGATCTGGATAGGCCCGCTGATGTCAACGTAGTGCTGAAAAGAAAAGTAGCTGGAAAAAAGTCGGGATCTGGAAAACGTAAGAGTTTATTGATATCATACGAATCTGAATCCAAATAATCCGGAAATACTTGCAGATGAACCGATGGAAAGCGGCCTACTAGAAGAGACTAACGTAAAACCAAGGCCAGAGAAAAAGCAGAGTCTGCTAAAGAGAAAACGTAAAATGAGTGGCTTGCGGCAGAAAACTGAAACACTTTCTGATATAGGCCCTAATCTAAAAAAAGTAAGAAAACACCAAAAGAAAGGTCGATCAGTTTCAGATGGACTGGACAGCCATACATCCGACATAAATGAGAAAGACAAATCGTCTGCGAAGAAGAAAAAAACTGAGAAAGGAAAAGATCAGATTAAACCTCCTATTGAAACCGAGAATGAACAAGACCGCATTGCATCCAAAAGAGACGGGAAAGACGCCATTCGCGGTGAGAATACATCCCAAATATCTCCTTTAGAAACTGAGATCACATTGGAGAATACGGAAGGCGAGATTTCTTTGCAAAATAATGTGAACTTATTCAAGAAGGACAAGCAAGCCAAGTATTCTATGGATACTGACACAAAAGCTTTGGTAAAACTGTCCAAGAAACAGAGAGGCGTTCGAAAATCTGGTAAGCCTGGTTCCAAGCAGAAAGTAACTAAAGTGGAAGAGTTAACGCCGGGCAAGAGGAGATTACTGAGCACTGAAGAGTCCGATCCAGCAGATGGCCAAAAGCTCGATCCACCATATTTCGATGAGGACAGCGACTTGGGGTCTGATGCAAAGAACTCAGAAAATAATGTGAATATGGTCAGGATGGACATGCAAGCCAAGTATTCTATGGATACTAAACCAAAAACATTGGTAAAATTGTCCAAGAAGCAGAAAGGCTCTCGAAAATCAGGTTCCAAGCCAAAAGAAACTAAAGCGGAAGACGTAATGCTGGGTAAATGGAGATTTCAAAGACCCATAGAATCCGCTCCAGCAGATGGCCACAAGGTAGATCCACCATATTTCGAAGAGGACCACGATGTTAAGACAAGACCAAGCTTCCATTTGAGGGACTTGAGGTCTGATCCAAAGTACTCGGTAGTGCAGCGCCTTCTGAAGAACGTTATAGAGAGTAATAGTGTCCTAGAGGGCACGGGCGATATTCGTGCTCTTATGACAGTTGTTGGAAAGCATAATATGTGGGATAAGCTGGCAGGTCTGTACTCTGAACTGCAGACAACGGGAATCGCCAAGTCAGATATTGTGTCGCTCCTCTCCAAGAAGTATCTGGACTACCTCAGGGGCGTTGAAAAGGAGTATTTGAAAAATCCAACGCTGAGAGGAAAGTCTTTGACCGAATCCAAGTTCAAAATCAAAACCATTGATGTGCCTTCCGAAATAATCGACAACATCGGATGGCTCAATGAGAGCATGAGAGGTGAACACGAACATTCCTCAAACTTCACTTCTCACGATCCTTCGAACGACATGCTACAGGATATGGGCAATTCGTCTGAGATAATGGACAGTGATGTGATCAAGAAACTAATCGATCAAGAAAAGCAAATGGAACGCGAGCTGCGCGATGAGCGGCGAAGAAAGCTCAATTCCGCCTCCTCTGGTCGATTTCCCTCTACGTCAAGCATGTCTGAAATTTTGGAAATCGATCCGAAGGAAGAGAAGAACCTGCTGAACTTCGAAATGCGGTACTCCTTGAAGAGCATACGAAATATGATGGAACAGTATACGCAATACTTTAAGTCTTTGGCCAAGAGTCCGGTTATCATGGCCCTCGAGAAGGAGAGGAGGCTCATTGAAGCCAATCTGGAGACCTTGCGGGACCAAAGTTTGGCCACAAGCCCAAATACCACTATGGCCAGACGAAGGCCCTACATTCCAAAAGAGAAAAAACTTCGCCCCGCCCAAAAATTGTTCTATTCGCCGCGTCAGACGTGCCGCGTGAAGAACCTCAATGACGACCCAGATGACTGGGAGTGCTGTTCAGTGTGTTCCCATGATTCTTTAGTGGAAGAAAGGCCTCGTGTCTACGAAAAGTGCCCGCGATGCGGAGTCAAGGTCGAGCTACCCGCGCCCACTCCCCAAGAAAGTCTTCGATCCCTGTCCCAGGGCTCCATTGAGGCCTGCGCCAAAAACAAATTGCTGCTCAGCACTGTTGCAGATATTTGCACCCACTGCGGATATATACACGAAAAGGGACAGTCTTGCCCACAGCTGCCCATCTGTCCAGTGCCGCTGCAGCATCTGCGGCGTGTTGAGGAGGCAGTTCAAGCCCAGATCCCGATGCAGCCCCCCGGGAAGAAGCCAGGAGTACTCTTGTGTTGCTCCCCCTGCGGAATCCTCAGGAAGCCCACAAGATACGCTGATCGGTAGATGGCAGAGTCAATATGGTCTGCTCTGCGGATGTGGTATCCTAATCGCTCTGGAACGCAGAAACTGTTGGCTTGGACTGCATACACCGCCTGCAGTATGTCGAGTGGATAATACTCGCATCAAAGAGGTACAAATCAGTTGGCTTAGGCGAAGGAAACATTTTGTTTAAGTGCTAAATAAATTCCAGTAATGAGTTTGCCTCGCCCGTCCGGGCAGGCCGTCCTGCAGCTCGGGTGTTCTGTTCCATCTGTGTGTTTCTGTTAAATGCTCCGGCAAGTTTCATAAAATATGCAAGGACTCTGCTCTCACATACACAGATATAAGTTTACAAACCCACACACAATGCACTCACGTAACGGTAAAATGGTTGCTGGCTTTTAATACACTCCTTGCCCCCTTTTTGCTTCGGCCCCATGCGCTCCAAGTGTATGCAACGAAATTTCTTCCGGCACTTCCTTTTTTTCGGCCAAGTTTTTAAGTCGGTCTATGTCTGCTGTAATGGAATTTTATTGCACACTCGCACTCGGCTTTGCCCTCTGTTTGCGCAAGCGAAACATGTTTCAGACATTTCCATAAATGAAAACTCCAAAGCAACTCCAAAATTGGCTTGCACGACGAAGATCGTACGCGCTTAAAAGCGATCCTCCGAGATGTCAAAAGGGGCAGATAAGATATGTATGTACTTCTGTACTCATATCATAACTCTGTAGATACCCGCTTTGATACTGAGTGGAAGTTCGAACCTTGTGGAAGGTGCAAATTCTCTGCAAATTCTGTGTCTGTGTCTGTGAATACCCCACCAATATCTATTATTCTTGGGGGAGGGCTATCAATTGGAGATTGGAAATTGATTCTTTCAGATATTGATTTAGTTCTAACTAATTTAAATGACCATTTTAGTGTGTATTGAATAAAGCAAGCTTACTGTATGGTATGCCTCAAAGCATCATTAAAGCCCTCGGCGACCAGCAATCGGCAAACTGTCGAATGTTTGGCAATAACATTTTTGGGAAATTGATGCCGGCGATCAATCATTTCCCAGCTTGCGAGTTCGGACACCAAGGAGAGCTGTAAGGAGCACCGCGCCCGGCACTTGGCAGCCTTTGTGGCCTGCGGCGGCATTTTCATTAAGGCAGTTTCACTCTGTCTCTCTCTCTCTCTCTCTCTCTCTCTTGACTACCATTCCGTAAGTTGAGACGTTTTCATTTGCATTTTTGTACAAATCGCCAAGATGGCGAGCATTCCTGCTCCTCCGGCTCTGTAAAGGGACTCTTCTGTTCAATTTGCGATGACTGCTGTAACATTATCTTGTTTGCTCATGACACGAGACCAGGCCCAGGACCAGGACCAGGCCCAAAGCCCTATCAAGTCAGACCATTTCCGGCTGCCTGGCTTTGTCCGGCATTTGGCAGTTCACCCGCTAGTCGCGATTCACGATTTGCGACAGTCTTTTGTCATTTTCCTCCTCTGGGCTTCCTCTTCTTTTTTGTGGCTTGTCAAAACAAGCGAAGAGACGAAATGAAGCGTGCAATTGTCTGCTGTTCACAACTTAAATGGCTATTGTAACGAGCACATTGCGATGGCCATCACAAGATGCTGTACACTCGCAGTGATTGCATTTTATTAGCTGTCAGATTTTAATTAATTCCCAACATCTTGACTGTCCTTTACGCATTAATATGCTGAGTCCCCTCCCTGACAAAGGGGAATCACGCAGAGAATGGCAGGGGAACCGTAAGCCGCAATGCAAAGCCACGAGACAATGGGGCCCCCATTGAGAAAGGGTCCTCGACAAAGCGTGCACGGTAATTATTGAGCTCAGGTGTGGGTATGGACATGGAATATGGAATATGGAATATGGAGCCTGCCTTTATGGAGCCATAAAGGAGCAACAAATTGGACTCCTCGGAGGAGACGGGGTAAAAAGTAAGCACAAAAGAAGAAACACGGAAGATAAATGGGCCAAGTTATATTTGAATGGCTACGGCTCCACTCGAGAACCACTGAATGGTGGAGGGATGTTCCTGCACTTAGCTCGACTCTTGTGAATATAGATCAGACCAAAAATCTAAATGAAATTAGCAGGAGAGAGGGAGGAGATGAGAAAATACATCAGCAAGGAATGTCCGAAAAGGCATGAAATAACTAAAACAATATTTGTATAACAAATATCTAAAAAACTGACCATTGCATTATTCTCGTTATCGATTATGGAGATTGACCAACTTAATTGGAAGGAACGAACTCCCGTGGTGTGTGCGATTTATGTGTGTAATACAATCGATGTCCCGCATGTCCTTCATCCAGCGGATACCATATGCTATAAATACTTTGACTTTTACTACACTAGAATCATATTTCCCAAATGAAAACATAAAACTTAAAGCTTAAAACAGAACATCTAGACAATACAAAGGCTACCAAGAGCAAAACCTAAAAGCGCCCCATATTATCTAACCTACGTGGGAATTGCATGGCTTGTAGGTTGTAGCTAATCTCGAAAATATAAATTTCGTACTTTTTTCTTGTTCAAATCCAGTAATCAGTAATCAACAAAACGTGGCACATCCGAAGGATGCGAATACGATCTAGAAACAAAACATAATCCATTCAATATCCGTTTCAAATGTACAGCTGCGGCGGTAAAAATAGCACCATGAGGCTAATGTGTATTGACGCCTTTTGTTCAAAATTGGTAAAAAAGAAAAGGATTTAATCAGAAATTTAGTCACCAACAAAAATAGCACTAATTTAAAAAATTATCAAAAAACTATATAATACAAAGAAGTTTTGCACAATTTTTAGTAAAATATGTTACTTAAGTTGTATTTACTGGTTGATATTTTGTTGTATAGCCTTTGGAATCAGCAAAATCAGATCAACATCTCGGCACTAATGTTTTCTTTCCCTTGGGATACTGATCCACGAACCAAGCAGGATACCCCAAAGATCTTTATTTTTCTTTGATTCCACATTAGAAAGAAATTTGTAAGCTTTACGCCATATATTTGCAATGGGGTTCAAGTCTGGAGACTTAACAGGCCAATCCATTACATTAAGTGGATTGTTCACGAACTTTCTTTCTGTTGAGTTTTGGGTCATTGTCCTGCTGGAAGACCCAAAAAACTGGATTTCGTATTCCGCAAAAGCCAGAATCATTGTTTCATAGATATCAACACAGAAATGTTGATCCATCATCGATTTGTTCCATGTGATGGATAACTTTCCTAGTACGAAAATCATGCCCATACGATTAGAGATTTGAGGAAAAGGGCGTCAGGATAAACGTAAAAAGAAATTTAAATATGCATTTAAAAATTTGGCGTAAGCTTGTAGAGTAATACGTAGTAGAGTAAGTTATATATAAGAGTAAATATAATCGTAATCAGTATGAGAATAGTTGTCTATGTAGACATGTCAGTCTGTTTGCCTGATTTTTTCTGTGCCCACTAGTCTATCAGTTTTGAAACTATCTTTATGGGCTTCTTCTAATAGTATAATAAAGAAAGGATGTTAACCGAAATACCACGACCGTCGCGACACAGTACCTATACCGCCCTGATACAGGCGAGGTAAGTCTACTGTGGCGAACCTTTGAAAAATGAATCTCAATATAGCAGTACTACTTAATTACTAGCCACTTCTAAATGTTCCCAAAAATATTTCCTCTTTCTTAAAAGCTTAAATAGAAACAAATTTAAGAATATAATAGAATCAGCGAGCATTTGTTCTTGGGAAGTCCACTATCATTATCATCTAGGGAAATTGTGTATGAGAAATACTTACGATAACTGCAATTTGCACTTAACCCTTGCAGGCGCTGTCGGTCTCCAAGTGCCGCCGTAGTTTCTTGGGCTCTCGGCCCGCCCCTGGAGCTTCATCCAAGGCGTTGGCTGCAACGCGTCGGCCGTGCTTGCTCACTTGGACAATTAGAGGAGCAGCAGCAGCACCCGCACAACCCACATATCTAGGCCCTCAGCTAACTGGCTCCTGGTAACCACTCCAGCCACTTGAAAAGTTGGCCGCAAAGTGCGAATGCATAATTAATTCCAATTATGAGTTCAGCCAACAACATTGGCAACATTGGCACTCGCCTTCCTGCTCGAGACGAGACGAGACGAGACGCGTCGAGACAAGATGCGTTCGATGGGAGGGAGACACACACACGGGCCAAGGGGGAGAGCATCGTGGGGGACAGACTTATCAGTGCATCGACAGCACGAGGCGAGGCGAGGCCCCCTGTTTCCCCTGAACTTTGAAGCTGGCAACTGTCACCCCTGGTTCTCCTTGTGCTCCTGCTTCTGCTTCTGCTTCTGCCCCTTGCTTGTTGCATAGTTTGAGTGAGTCAAGTGCTTGGCATGTTTAAACACATGCTCAAGTGTCATTTAGACAGTTATCTGCCCCACCAAAGGGGTGGCACTATGAGTGTAGGTGTGGGTGTGGGTGCAGGAGTCCTGGATCTGGGGTATCTGGCGCATCTTGGTGGGAGGCAGACAATTGATGGTCCTGCGATAAGTACGTATACCAGGCGCAGTCTCAGCCTCAGTCTCCGTCCACTTTTCCCTCAATTACAAAATGCTAAAAATTGCAATATCAATAACATTTTATGTACTCACAGCAGGGGTTCCGTGGGTCGGGGGTCGGGGGTCGGAAGGGCAGGCTGGCTATGAGGGTTTAAGGGTAACAAAAAGTGCTGCGTCTAAGTGTTGTTGCCGCCAGCCTTCAAAGCCGCCTTCACTATTAACGGAAATGCATTCTGGTTGTGGCTGTTGTTTGGAGAGCGTCGCGTCTCGTACCGTCTGCCAGGCTCAAGTGTTTTAATGGATTTTCCAGATGAACACAAAAAAATATACATACATGCATATGTACCTAGTAGTACATCCCGACGACATATACGAGTAGGGAAGCAGTGTCAGAGTTGGATTTTCCCTCATTTTGGTTTTGCAAATATTTTTTTCAGCCTGACAAGAAATGTCAAGATTTTGGGCTCATGTTTCGCCGTGACATCTTTGCACATGCATCAATCATTTCGACCTGCCGCCCGCATCCCCAGGACATCTGTGGTTACTCCATTAAACCAATCAAAAGGAAGTTCAGTTCATAAAAGATAATAGCCTGGCTTAGCCGCTTGCCGCATGCCACTCAAGGACCTAAATCCGAGGAGCAGCTGCAGCCTCTACC